ACTTGCTCCCCCCATTTGGAACTTCCCAAATCCCAAACTTCGCCAACTCCCGAAATTCACTGAGAATCAACTTCGAGAATGTAGAATACTAGTAATTTGGGATCCAAAAATTTATACCTTGATTAAAAAAAAAAATGGGGAACATGAAAAAGGTAAGCTGGGTGCGCGTGACCCCGATCATCCAGCTTTTGGTCGCATTGTTGTCTGGAACGGTATACGCGTTCCTTGCCGCGACTCCTTCGTCCTCGTCTCGACGGTTTTTGCTTTTGCTCGACTCTCTCTCGAGAGCCGCTACCACTGGAGAGGAGTTTAAAGGTAAACGGGTTTCTCGCCGCTAGCAGACACCGCTCGCCACATCACCAGGAGACTCTGGCCTCTCTTGGCCATACCCGTGAACATCGTGTACTGCTTCCTTGACAAAACCTTCGTTGTCTCTTGTAGAACCTTTCTCTAATAAAAAGTTAAGGGAGGGTTTAGATTGTGGGACTGAAGAAAGTCTGGAGAGATAGTCTGGTAACTATAGGGAAGATAGGACCTTGGGAATTTCAAGGTTTTTGTGAAGAGTTTGGGATCTGTGGAGGTGCTGGAACCTAGGGAGAGCCTAAAGGTTAATGTTGAACTTGGAACTGATGGAGAATCTATGAAATCTTATGGGAAGTCTAAGGTTTATGTAGAGTTTGGAACCTGTGGAGGTGCTAGAACCTAGGGAGAGCCTAAAGACTTATGTTGAACCTGGAACTGATTGAGAACCTATACCTTGTAAAGTCTAAGATCTATGTAGAGTTTGAAACTTATGGAGGTGCTAGAACCTAGATAGAGCCTAAAGACTTATGTTGAACCTGGAACTGATTGAGAACCTATGGAACCTTGTAAAGTCTAAGATCTATGTAGAGTTGGGAACCTATGGAGGTGCTAGAACGTAGGGAGAGCCTAAAGACTAATGTTGAACCTATGACTGACAGAGAACCTAAGAACCCTATAAAGCCTAAGATCTATGTAGAGTTTGGAATCTGTGAAGGTCCTAGAACCTAGGGAGAGCCTAAAGACTTATGTTGAACCTATGACTAACAGAGAACCTAAGAACCCTATAAAGCCTAAGATCTATGTAGAGTTTGGAACCTGTGGAGATCCTAGAACCTAGGGAGAGCCTAAAGACTTATGTTGAACCTACGAAGAACCTATGTAACCTTCTGAAAAAGTCTAAGACTTAGAGTCTGAAGCTTGGAAGACCTTAAAAAAATTTGTCTCGTTTCCCCAGAATTATCATTCCTTCATCGAAGAACCACTCAGTCCCCTTCAAACCCGAAAAAACCTTCATTACAATAAAAGTCCAATTTAATAATTATCTGGTCATAAAAACGCTCATTACTGAGTAACAAACAGTGTCGCTTTAATATCCTCGTTAAGGGCCACGTGCAGAAGGAGTGCACAAAAGGGTGGTTGAGTCTCCACGATCAGGTGTGCCTCGATGTAAATTGTCGACCGGTAGCACGGTATCGGGAGCAAACGGGCACTGTTAGATTGTATAGGGTGGCTGGACACCAGGTGAACATACCATATGTCATGGGGAGATAAGACCGTTTGAGATAGCCGATGAATTAGTTTCCCTATCGTTGGATTCTTAAGTGACAGTCGGTTCTAAGGAACATTTGCATATCGAATGAACCGGCTGTGAAACGGAATGGCTAATTATCTTCTTTGATGTGGATGACACTGAGCGATAGAACGCTTCTGTCGATTTCAACTGAGTCCACATTCAATGGGAAATATCGGGTGTTACTTGATCCGGACTTAACCTATACTCGGATATTATTTTGGTGTTTGCTAAAATTTGAGGGTGGGGGATATGGAGTGGTGGGGATTTGCAATTTTGGGATTTTTTAGATTTGGGGGGTGGGGAGGTGGCATTTTGGGGTTTTGGGGTGTTGGGACTTGGGGTATTGGGAATTTGGAGTGTGGGAAATTTGAGGGATTGGGACTTTGGGGTATTGGGACTTTGGAGTGTTGGAAATTTGAGGGATTGGGACTTTGGAGTGTTGGAAATTTGAGGGATTGGGACTTAGGAGTGTTGGGACTTTGCGGTATTGGGAATTTGGAGGGTTGGAAATTTGAGGGATTGGGACTTTGGAGTATTGGGACTTAGGAGTGTTGGGACTTTGGGGTATTAGGAATTTGGAGTGTTGGAAATTTGAGGGATTGGGACTTTGGAGTATTGGGACTTAGGAGTGTTGGGACTTAGGAGTGTTGGGACTTTGGAGTATTGGGAATTTGGAGTGTTGGAAATTTGGGGGATTGGGACTTTGGAGTATTGGGACTTAGGAGTGTTGGGACTTAGGAGTGTTGGGACTTAGGAGTGTTGGGACTTAGGAGTGTTGGGACTTAGGAGTGTTGGGACTTAGGAGTGTTGGGACTTAGGAGTGTTGGGACTTAGGAGTGTTGGGACTTAGGAGTGTTGGGACTTAGGAGTGTTGGGACTTAGGAGTGTTGGGACTTAGGAGTGTTGGGACTTAGGAGTGTTGGGACTTAGGAGTGTTGGGACTTAGGAGTGTTGGGACTTAGGAGTGTTGGGACTTAGGAGTGTTGGGACTTAGGAGTGTTGGGACTTAGGAGTGTTGGGACTTAGGAGTGTTGGGACTTAGGAGTGTTGGGACTTAGGAGTGTTGGGACTTAGGAGTGTTGGGACTTAGGAGTGTTGGGACTTAGGAGTGTTGGGACTTAGGAGTGTTGGGACTTAGGAGTGTTGGGACTTAGGAGTGTTGGGACTTAGGAGTGTTGGGACTTAGGAGTGTTGGGACTTAGGAGTGTTGGGACTTAGGAGTCTGGGAACTTAGGAGTGTTGGAAATTTGGGGTATTGGGACTTTGGGGTATTGGGACTTTGGGGTATTGGGACTTTGGGGGTATTAGGACTTTGGAGGTATTGAGACCCTAGAGTGTTGGAAATCAGGAAGTTTGTGACTTTCTACACACAAAGACTCAAGACTTAAAATCTTGCAATTTTTAGAATTTGTCACACTGAAACTTTGAAAATATTGGAAACTGAGTATATTGGGAACTTCTACATATAGAAACACCAAAGATCTCTACATTGAAGTCATACATCTCTACATCCAGAGTTCATAAAATTTAAAAATCCCTCCACTTGAGAACACCTTTTGAAATTTAAAAATCCAGCAATTTCTCACATACTCCAAAAGACATAAATATAAATAGAAACCAATGAATCTTATCCAAATCTTTCCCATAACCCAAGAGCATAAGGCCACTTCACGTTCGAAAACCCCGAAGTCCTTGATGATCCATGTTCCTTTTTTAGAATAATCCCGGGTCGAATGTCGAGGATCCGGTCGAAAAATTCGCCATCGGTGTTGGTCGAAAGATTTTTCTTGGTCGTGTCGGGGCCATGGCCCGCGCAAAACCAGAGAGAGGCTGGCCCAAAGCAACGGGGCCTGGATATTCCGGTTCACTTAATCGTTTCTTCGGACTTGGATCGTGGCAGGCCAACTCTCTGTCCCTCTTTTGGCTACCTTCGACCGAAAAAATGAATAAAAGAGCTTGCGCTGTTGGGTACACAGCCGAGCCAGGAAATCATTCTATCCCATACAATTCTGTCCTGCCTGAATATTTTTGTAGGTGAACATTTTTTGGAGAGGATACCTGCTCTCACGATATCGGCGTGGAATTTTTTCAAACATTGTTAAATATCGAATAAACGATATTTTTAGAGATCGGTGAACCATAAACTCGACGTCCGTGCATCCTCTGTACCTTTTCGCATGACCTTTCTTTACTCTTGTACAGTGTTTGCATTAACAAATTGCTGTAATATTTTGTGCTATCGTTAAATCTTTGAAAGAAGCTTCTCTCGTTTAATATCCAATTATTAACATACATTTAATAACGTCCCGTAGCTTTTTAATGCTTAAATCATGCTTTCCAATAAGTCACCTACTTAACGAACCATCGAAAAGGAGCTGTTCGATCAAATTTATCTTATTATCAATTTAGATGTTGTTTAAAATTTTATCTCACGCTGCTCCTATTCGGAGGTTCACAAAAATTTGCCAACGAGCGAGAGAAACGGGAATGGTGGAAAAATGTGAAGGTTACGGTGACCGAGAGAGCTTTTTCACTAGTCGCCACGAGTGCCACCAAACGCATGCGAATGATTACTCGAATCGGACTAGGATTTTTCGTTCGCGATCTGCGGGATCTTGAAAAAGTTGCGCGTTGTGTATTCTCCGTTAGAAAACGAACCGAAAAGTCCTTTGCCGTTTTGCGATTCGAGGCCTCGTTTCCGAGATACAAGCGGTTAAAGATTGAACGTTTCACTTCCGGGGCGTTCCCGCGCTCGATCACGTGCACAGCCGCTCGGCCAATCGCGCCAGGTCTAAGGGGTACACCCCCGGACGCTGAACGGCCGATCTTCAGTCGCCCGTATCTTGCAAACGAAAACTCGGATCGAAAAACGGTAAAGGACTTTCCGATTTGTTTTTCGACGACGAATCTGCACATCTTTGAGATACCCTGCATTTTTCTAGATATTAAATATTGCATGGTATGTTTGTTTTTGAACTACACTTTCGACGATTTGTGACTTGGTCCGAATCGTGCATTGCTTGTTTCTTTAAATTTCGTAGAATTCATAATGCATTCGTTTGGTAAAAATCTGATGCGGTTAACCCATCTGCATTTTGTTGAATTGTGTGAAAGTTATTGAAAAATTATTGGAGTAGTTAATTTAGATGAGTTACAGAAGAGGGATGATTGTATAGATTTTTGATGGCAAATGGGTTAAACCGCAATTAGAAAAGAGAGAGTTCAGCGATTGCACGGGGCCTTCGCTACTGGTAGCGTCGATCCTGGCTTGCTGGCAGCACTCGAACATGGCGGCGTGGTCGGTCGTTCTTTCGACATTTCGAAAGAGCGGCGTCAGGTGGAAATCTCTTGGTCCGTCTAGCCTTCTCGGTGTCATCGTAACATCGTTCGAATATCTCGCCAGGTTCGATATCTCGGAGGAGGACTCGCGTGGGGCGTGTGGAGGTTTAAAAAACGAGGGCCAGAAGCGTCGTACGAAGTCGAACGAAAGCGTGCGGCGAGGTTAACCTCAGCCGTTCGACGACGAGTACGAGCCAGGAAAAGAGAAGATAGAGAAAACCGGTGAAAGAAAGAGAGAGAGGGAAGGAAGTCGAAAAGGCGTGAAAGAGATAGAAGGAGCAAGGGTGGAATAAGCTCGAAAGAGACAGAACAAAAGGGGAGGGAATGAACGGCCCTGGAAGTCATCAGCATCGCGGCTTGGGCATGCAGGGACATTCGAGGCCTCGTTTCCGAGATACAAGCGGTTAAAGATTGAACGTTTCACTTCCGGGGCGTTCCCGCGCTCGATCACGTGCACAGCCGCTCGGCCAATCGCGCCAGGTCTAAGGGGTACACCCCCGGACGCTGAACGGCCGATCTTCAGTCGCCCGTATCTTGCAAACGAAAACTCGGATCGAAAAACGGTAAAGGACTTTCCGATTTGTTTTTCGACGACGAATCTGCACATCTTTGAGATACCCTGCATTTTTCTAGATATTAAATATTGCATGGTATGTTTGTTTTTGAACTACACTTTCGACGATTTGTGACTTGGTCCGAATCGTGCATTGCTTGTTTCTTTAAATTTCGTAGAATTCATAATGCATTCGTTTGGTAAAAATCTGATGCGGTTAACCCATCTGCATTTTGTTGAATTGTGTGAAAGTTATTGAAAAATTATTGGAGTAGTTAATTTAGATGAGTTACAGAAGAGGGATGATTGTATAGATTTTTGATGGCAAATGGGTTAAACCGCAATTAGAAAAGAGAGAGTTCAGCGATTGCACGGGGCCTTCGCTACTGGTAGCGTCGATCCTGGCTTGCTGGCAGCACTCGAACATGGCGGCGTGGTCGGTCGTTCTTTCGACATTTCGAAAGAGCGGCGTCAGGTGGAAATCTCTTGGTCCGTCTAGCCTTCTCGGTGTCATCGTAACATCGTTCGAATATCTCGCCAGGTTCGATATCTCGGAGGAGGACTCGCGTGGGGCGTGTGGAGGTTTAAAAAACGAGGGCCAGAAGCGTCGTACGAAGTCGAACGAAAGCGTGCGGCGAGGTTAACCTCAGCCGTTCGACGACGAGTACGAGCCAGGAAAAGAGAAGATAGAGAAAACCGGTGAAAGAAAGAGAGAGAGGGAAGGAAGTCGAAAAGGCGTGAAAGAGATAGAAGGAGCAAGGGTGGAATAAGCTCGAAAGAGACAGAACAAAAGGGGAGGGAATGAACGGCCCTGGAAGTCATCAGCATCGCGGCTTGGGCATGCAGGGACGTTACAGGGCCGTAGTTAACGGCGGTACCCCGACGGGGCCCCACTCGCGCCCTCCAGCGCCCCCTCACGCCCGTGGTGGATGGCACCCCCATAATCAACACCCTCAACACGCTCAGATACCACAGCAATACACCGGCAACAAGGAATACCCGTATCGACAATGTCCACCGCCACGCTTCCATAACGGGTATACAACCAATCCTGTTATCCTCGGTTGTATTCGGTCGCGAACTTTTCATATTTTTTCTCCGATCTTTTTTTCCATTATTTATACTATTCTTTTTTTGCGCATCGGAAATGCGTCACCGCGCTCAAACGATCGGAAGCGTCGTGATTTGTTATCGTGTAATGAGGCGAATAATTATCGCTCGGATGTACGAGGTGTCCCGTTAAAATCCTTCCGCTTAGATATCGAGTTACACATGTTTTCTTGCTTTCATTGCTACAAAGTCTTCATTCGAAAGAATTTTAATTTTAATAGAATTTTAAGGTAAAATTTTGTCAAATTTTCACGTTAACATTTTCTACGTCCAATGACGCCACTGCAGCGTCCTACTCGATACCACTGTGGTCGGTAGGTATTAAGATTCCATACACCCCATAACAGTGGCGTCCAATAATTATCAACGTGCTATGCTATAAGGTTTCCAATGACGTCACTGCCGTGTCCGATACTTCTTGGAATTACGAGCGCCACGTTCCAGTGACGCAGCCGTTGCGTCATCGACTAGAAATTTCAACACAAACTCTCACCTATACAAAGTCAATCAGACTAATAATGTATAAAAAATAAATCTTGATGAATTTCGAACAATTTTTCAACGCAAGGATGAAAACGGGACACCCGGTATCGTTGCGTAATTCCGTTACTTAACGCCAAGAATCATGCACGTAATTGTTGAAAAGTTTCGCGTTGCACTCTGATCGGAAGCGGGGATCAGACGAGTAAACTCGCGAGCTCTATAAGAGAAGACGAAAGCGTGTTCCGTTAAACGACGCGTACGGGGTCTATCAAGAGTAGCTTGTATTTAATTTTCAGACCGACCGACATTGAAGAGTCGACGATTCTAATCGACGATAATAAACGCGGCACTCCGGGGTGTCGTGTGTCGTTGCGACGCCATGAACGACGCCGTTGCCTGCAACTCGCGCTCTTATTTTTCGTCGCGATTTTCGAAAGACACTTCGCTTATTATTTTCCTAACCGTCGGGTGCTTGAACGTTTCTACCGATTGTTTATTCGAATTTTTCTTTTCGTCCCTGTTTTCTCCGCTCTCTTTGCCACGTACCGTGTTTATACATTATACTTCGCTGGTTATCTTGTTTAGCATGCCATCGTGTACCAGTTCTGTATCAATTCTGAATGAGACGCATACATGTTTCCTTTTTATTACACCAATGTATTTCTCGTTGTTGCGTGCCCTTTTTTACTTGCTCAAATTTTCGAAATCATTGGCGTAATCGGGATTTTATGATGGATTTGAACCCCTAATGGCTTTCAGAAATTTCGGTAATTCGTTATTTGAAAATCTGATCCGGAAATTTCACAATCGGACTTGGACTAATTTGAGAATCGGGGTTTGAAAATTTAAGACTTTGCCTATTTAGAAATTTTCAAAGCACCATCATACTCAAACAGATCCCAGATAATTTACAAAAACTCCAGAAAGAGCCTGAGTCTTCCAACAATTTCGATAACGGGTGAAATTCACTTCTCCCCAGTTACGCCAATGCTCCCTTTTCTTTACCACCGTCTTTCGCGATGTACACATTACCGTTTGTCGATAATGATCGTGCACGAGACGGGATCTCATAAATATGGCCCCATTTATTCAGCTGCGTAAAGATAGAAACAACGTCGTGTCGTGTGTGTGCTTCTTGACGCGGTTCTAGAGCGACAAAGTACATATTTTTATCACGACTTGGTTAATTCACGTAAACGTCCAGATACGTCCGTGATATTTACACGAACGGATCACGGGAGGATTAGTTCGTTTAGTATCGTCGAGTCATCAGGGTTACTAATTGTTGCACAGATCGGTTCAAGGAGAAAAAATCGTTCGCGAATTGTTGCTTCGATGTTACGGTGAGAAATTGTTTATTATGTTCCTACAATTTTGGAGCTATTTGCTACCTTTCAAGGTTATTCATTTTTTCTTTATAGAAAGGTTCTTACATAAATTAATTAAATCATCATTCAGTACTTCCAAGTATTTCAAACTTTCACTACTGCCAAGACTTTCGTTCAAGTAAATTTCAAAGCCACTCGAAATTTAAAGACACAGAAATTACTTGAGAACAAAAGTGATTTCTTATACAGTGTTATTTAATTCGAGCCGTAACATCGATCATTTAGGCGAGTAGAGAATCGAACGGTTAACAGTTCTGTACGTGATTCTGCACATATTTAGGGACTGTCCCGGAGTTGGTACGTCTTCCGGACCAAACGGTAAGGAAGTTTCGTATCACGGGAACGTAGGCGGATCCAGCGTGGGGTATAAACCGCCCCCGCAGCACAGTCCGCAATCAAGAGGTCCACCGGCACATTTTCCACAAGAGTCTGTGGGTCCGCCGGCCAATTCACCGCCATTGCATATCAACATCTGCGGCCAAGTAAGCATCTCAAGACCCTGTCACATGGACAGTCCGTGTCTCTGTTCGTTTGTAACAAAAAGATTACACCCGCAGGAGAACGCGATGCGTGGCCCATTATTGAACATGAGTCCAGGTCTCGGAGCTAGCGGCGTCGACATGGAGTACCGTAGAACTTCTCAAGGTATACCCAAACCTGAATAAGTACTTGATTGACATTCGAGTACTTGCGTGAACGTTACAGAATTTCTGTCCTCTTTTTGCACAGCCACGAATCAGCTACCTCTGAGTCCCGTACAAATACAGCCGTCGCCGCCGTACTACAGGCAGCCTAGTCAAGACGACGGTCGAAAGGTAACTTAATTTTGAAGTCGGTCTCTAACGCTTAATTGATCCGTTCGCGTATTCTTTTAGAGCGAGTCTCCATCCAGGAAACGTCGGCGAATATCTCGGAACGGTGCCGTGTCCGGAATCGAAGTTCGAGAGACAACGCCACAATCACCTACGCCACCGTTGCACACAACTCCGCCGCCATGGGAATTCTCCTCGGCGCCCCAAAGACGATCACCTCGCAATCACATGTCCACCCGCGGTAGTCCCACCATACGAAATCGTTACCAACGATATCCCGACTCGTTTGGACTCTCTTACCCCTTCATACCCGGCCACAATCCACATCCCACCATCCACAATTCCCACCATGGGATTCACGGATCTCATCACAGTATCCACAACTCGCATCATAACCTGCATAGTTCCCACCATAACATGCATAACGCGCATCAGACGCATCCCCATCATCCACCAGGCACAGGGCACCACCCTGCCCAAGGAGCGAACGGCCCCGTGGTCGTTGACGTTGGACAAGTCGGTGTTTCCGGTTTAGGGGTTGCCGTCAGCGGAGAACCCCTCTGGCATCCTCAGGCGACAGGTTACAGAATTCCTTGTCAGCTGCACGGTATATACACACCGACTGGAGCACACGCGTTTGCGCACTCGTGTCAGGTAGGTATTATTTGGACTTAACTCTAGGCAGATCGACCTGGTACGAAGAAAATACTCCTGTGACTACACGACATCTAGTACCGTTACCAACTTAACGCGTTCGGTGATTGTGAAGAGTCGGAAATGCGTATAGTCGTAAAGCCGATATAGCGAGCTCGTACATTAATAGGTTTATTTTAGGTATCGCGTGATATCGAAAGCTCGAACGTTCGATGCGAAATATTCCATCGCGATATGATCTAGTCAGGTATACAGTCGATGAGAAATATTCCGGGCTACAAATTCGTACACTTGAAAATTTCACAAGTTTGTAATTTAATTCGAGTGCTTGGACGTTTGGAAACTCGCTATGTCATAGTTACGAGTGTAACACAATTTTCCGCGAATCTTTTTAGCCTCGTTTTATCTCGAAATAAATTATTTCCTTGGAGGGAGAGTTACAACGAACGAATATTATTTTCCCAGGTTACCCATCACCATAGTCACTACTCACCGGCTCATCCGACCCACCCAGGCCACAGCCTAGTCGGTTCGATAGTTGGCGCAGCGTCCAGAGGATACCCAACGCCAACCGGAGGTGCTGTGGCGGCTCTTCATCATGCTCACGCACCTCCACCACCCGTCCATACTGCTCATTATACTGCGCATCATCAACTCTCACAACAGGTACGAGTTAAAGACGTTATTATACAAATACTTCCTTTGCAACAAAAGGTGATTATGTATTACATGGTATGTCGATATCTTCGCACCATTCAATTTTCATTTAAAACGTATTTATTTCTGTTCCTTTAAGAAATAATTAAGTACATTACAACATACCGCATAATCAGAATGTTAGATCCTTTTTGATACCATTTTGTTTGAAAGATGTCAGGTGTTTCATAAAAAAGGAGTTTAGATATTCTGTATATATAATATACAGAAGTTTACAGAGTATATATAATAATATTCTATATATTTTGCAGAACAAAGTGTTTAAATATTCCGTCTGTCTGTTTCAGCGAGAAGTTGAACTAGAGTTAATAGAATCCCATCATCATCACCGAGTAGGAGCCACAGCCGGTGCCCCATTACCATTGCCGCACTCGTATTCACCGCCAGCTCTCACTCAAGTCACCACTCCGACTCCTACACCCATATTCCTGTCAGAAACGAGAAACAGTCAATTGGAAATGATTCAGACGAGAACTCGGCGTTCAGGACCGAACGTTCACGCGCTCAGACGATCAAGGTCGAGTAGATGGAGAGCTACACCTCCGATACCACCGACGACCTATCCACAGTTCTTACTACACTTCTTGTAAGTATCGACACTTCCTACCTAGTTTCGTCATGGTCTCAGTTGACGTAATCTCAAAGGTTGTGTACCGTTCTCAGGGCGATGTTCAGCAACCCACCATTATCGCCGTACAGTCAAGCGGAGCTGTCCTCGCCGGATTCAGCGACCGAGAATTACGAGGCTCTGCTGTCGTTGGCCGAGAGACTAGGAGAGGCTAAGCCACGAGGATTGACCCGAGCCGAAGTCGAACAGCTGCCCTCGTACAAATTTAACGCGGAAACGCACCAGGGAGACCAAACTAACTGTGTCGTGTGCATGTGCGACTTCGAGGCTCTGCAGTCGTTGCGCGTCCTACCGTGCTCGCACGAATTCCACTCGAAATGCATCGACAAATGGCTCAAAGTAAGTCTATCATTAACTGTTATTTTGTAGGGTAAGCAGCAGATATCCTCTAATTGACTGGACAGGTGGTTGAAGCGTTACCATTATTAAATGACTCGGTAGTATTCCAGGGTGGTAAATGAGTCACGGACGCAACAAAGTAGCATTTCACCATGATAAATTGTCTGTTCTACTTGTTTCCTTGAATCATTTCCAACGTTGCGCACAGCGTTTTGATAGTTCTACCACTGGTCTCCTTTTATCACTTGAACTAGTATTACCAGTGCAAACTACGTCAGAATACGACGATAAAGTGACTCTATCGCTAGGCTGCTACCATAAGTCCGATATAGCAGTGTCAATATTTAGTAGTCTGCATTGTAGAAATATTAATGGCGCATATCGCTAAGCAAAGACCGCCATTTCCTCGAACAGAACAAGATATCTAGGAAACGACTAACGACCACGTATTTGTTGATTGTTTGCAGTCGAACCGAACGTGTCCAATTTGCCGTGGCGACGCCGGAGAATATTTCGGGAACGCCGGTACGGGTAGCGACTGACGCCAAGCTGCTCAAGTGCACTAGCGCCGACTGTCAAGAATCTCAGGGACGCTACTTCGCACAGAGCTACCAGCGATCAGGTTGCTGGTTTGTGCAAATTTCTGTTGACAAGCATTTCTCTCGCCTTCGCCGAGAACATGGCGGTTACGTCGCTTGGTTCTCCGACAACGGCACAACCGAATTGTCGTTATCCTTCAACCGGAGAGAATCGTGAAACTGAACAACTACGGTAAAAAAAAATCGAAAAAAAAAAAAGAATAAATTCAGGGTATGATCGTGTGTCTCGGTTGTTGAGAACAAAAAGGACCACACGCAATAAAGGTACACGATTTTAAATTAACAGCATGCAGAACATTTGTACATTGACGAAAAATTAACGTTTCTTGCGTGTTTATTCCATTGTTTTTTTCTTCGAGATTAGAAGAGTCGAACGGAAGAGAGAGAAAGTGTGTGTGCGTGTATAGAAATGTTGTAATAAGCAATCAACCGGGGTTATGACAAACGAGAAGAAGAGGAAGACTAAGAAGAGGATATTAAAAGCTATCAAGCATTTGAACGTCAGGATAGAAAATCCGACGGTTGTTTTTTCTTTTTGTTTCAACTAGCGCTTCGATAATTACGTATTTAACGCTCGTTTGTTGTTTTGTGTTGCTATTTTAGGGTATATCGTGTACATAAGTACTTGTAATAATGCAACTATTGCCACTTTCCATTAACGTTCCAATTTTTATTATTATTATAGTTGTCTTTTTAATCCTACGAATTGTAAATACTTGTGTAAACGCTCCTATTATACGAACTCGCGCGAACACGTATCTGCGCGTGTGGATACGAACGATTGTAGGTAATTTGTTTCTTTTGTTGGGGAGGAAGGGGGCACTTAACCAAATGTAGTACATAAATTCTTTTCCTTCTTTTCTTTTTTTGTAACAAACAATACGAGACGTGTCACTGTAAGAGAAGAAACACAACCTCCTAATAAGTATAAGCTTTTTGTGTCTTTGTATAGGGTATTTTGTTATTGTGAACGGTTTTTTCTATAGCTGCAGAAATAATTATCGACAGAAAAAATAATCATTTTCCATAGGATTTGTTTAACAGTTTCTCTCGCGGTCAACCATTTTCTTTCGATTTAAACTATCGTAGGGAATAATAGACTACGAGAAAGTACGAAAACCGTGAGAGATGGATTAGAAGAAAAAAAACGTGAAAAAGAAGTCAGTCTATTCAGCAATAGTTTACTATACGCAAAAGCTACTACGTGAAGAATAAAGATAAAAAAAAGAAAGAAAAAGAGAGAATGATAAGAATACCGCTTCTGTTTCCTGCGTATCTACCTCTAATAGATGAAATGAAAACGATTCATATTTTTTTATACACACATCTCATAAACAATAAACGTACGTACGCTAAGAAAACCAAAAAAAAGAGAGAAAGAGCGCGCGCGCGAGAGAGAGAAAGAGAAAAAATAGAAGAAAACCGATGACGATGGATTAGGAAAATCGAGATAACCGCGAACTTCGAAATTTTCAATATTAAATGTTAAGATTCGTCGAAGTGTTTAGAACCTGCAGAGAATCCATATTGATTTCAACTCTTTCGTATTTCACGGCTGGACACCACGTGGACAGACACGATTTTTCCCGATCTTTCGACCATCAAGAGAAAAATCCAATGGAGTCGTTTTTGGTCTTAGAAAGTGTAGATTCTCCTTGCGTGTTTAGTTTTAAATTATCTTCGATGACCTAGGAAAAATTGAACTCGTTATTTTCTTTAGGGATGCTATTCTTTTTCTAAATTCAATTTTCAGGGAAGCTTTTCTGTAGAAATTTAAAAGACCTTCTCGCACAAGGCTTTTCAAGACATAAAGCTTTCGAAGAGAACTTAAATACTTTCATGGATTTTTCCATTTGACGCGTTGAATACCGAACGCCGTTCAAAGTAATTACCGATTATCAAAAATTATTTAGTATATAATTTACTTAGACTTTATTTTTCACTTAAAGACATATCAGAATGCAATTATAATTAGATTAAGCATAAAAAATAAATGAAACAAATTATATTTAGTTTCGGAAAAAAATTTATTTCGTAATGTTAGATTTATTTAATCGGCGATCCTCGCGGCGTTCAACGTGTTAACAGTAGACTCTTATATTTCCGGGACTCCCATAAATCTCGGGGGTGCCATTAGCGGCAATATAACGAGAATCGACTGTAATTAGAACGAAAACATCATGTCTCTCGCAACGGTGAAAGATAAATATCGAACATCAAATGTAATGGGTTCTTGAACTGTCTCCTTCCATTTCTTATCGCGTGCCTTTACTGTACTTGACCGGGTATCGGGAAACGATGAGAGTTCATGGGGAAAAGAGTCGGAGAAAAAGATATAAACGATGAAAAACTGATATGACCTGCGAATCTTGCGTGTTCGTATTTAAAGGAAACATTGACTATCGTACGTTCACGCGAGCAATCACAGAAGATTATGTACATTTGGAGCACGAAAACAAAACCAGAGTCACGTTTATCAGACCACCATTGGCAGAGGATGTTACTTTAGTTCTTTAGAAATTCATTCTTCGCAAGTTTCTAAATTTCAAAGTTTTTCAAGTTTCTAAATTTGAAGATGGTCGTCGTTTGCCAATGTGGTCGTAGACGAGGCTGCAGCATTACCACTGTGTCCACCAGCTAGATCCTTACGAACAGGACCAACGAGCTTTATTTTACATAGCATTCTAAAAATTGAATGTAATTCAGATACTTCTCGGTCGATACTTGAAACGATACTCTACGTAGAACATCTTCATCATAGAAGACTTCTCTCCTGTACGCATATACATCTGTTTCATCTAGAAGCACTCGAATATTTCTCTATTTGTCCTCATAAGTGGTCACACAAAAATTTGTTAATAGAATGGCACATTTTTTTACGTCGATTTTCGGAAGAATCAATGTAATGAAAAATATACCATCTTTAACATGATCGCAAAACTTTTCAAGATTGAGTTAATGTCTTGATTTTGTCGAGATGTTTGAGGGTTTCTAAATTGAACGGTGTATAATACAAACAGTTCTAAGTTCTACTTAGAGTGTCTCGAATCCAGTAAGTTTCTAGCAGAGCGTTATATTCGTAAGTGAAACGTCCGTGCAACCGTATATACGTAAAACATGTACTTTTTAGTAGTTTTGTACGGGTCTATGCGTTTATGATCGGTGACTGTCGAAACTTTATTGTTTGATCGAGACTAATTGACAAAGTCTTACAAGAAGCGTTGTGACTACAGAAACATCCGCCATTTTCATGTCCTGGATCACGCTGAAGTTCCTGAAACATCCTGTACATCTCTCCGCTCTCAAAGTATATAAAAAGTGAACATTAACTTTGGTCAAAATGTATCGATCAAATAATAAAGCGAGAACAACGCGAGCAAGCACAAATCAAAAGTTGATTTTCGTTGTTTTTTCGTTTCGATCATCGAACGTGAAACAATATATCAAAAGCTCGTGTATGTGTGGGTGTACATGTGTGTGCGTGTGTATAAGTGCGTTGGTTTTTCTTAGATGCGTTTTAACAGGAACACATATCACTTAATCTCCATCGTAATCCACGCGTCTCGCACGCTCGCCCTTTTTGTCGCGTTTAGACCCGGCCAGAGAAAGGATAAAAGGGAAGGCTCATTTTTTTACTAGCTTAAGTCCGCGGAGGAGAGAAAGAGACACGGAATGTGTGAGTACGTATGAATTTGTCAAAAGGGACGAGCGTTCGATCGGAAGGAGCTAAACGCCGAAGAAGATCCACATCTCGTACACCGGTGTCCAGTGAACTTACACGATCGCGGAGCTTTCGACAATTCTAGATTGCTTCTTTCGTTGTATAAAATAATCGTCATCGTAGTTTCAATCTTCCGTAGTCGCGAATTTGGAATCTCTTTCTCTTCCACGTTTCTGTGATAAATATAAGATTGTCTTTGAACAAGCAATTTCATTGATCCTTTGCAGTTTAGGTTGATAGGACACCCTTTCGACAAAATAATCTTTAAAATTCTTTTCATATAAAATGGCTGACCAGTTCACTCTTATTCTAAAGTTGACACTATTCTCCACAAGCGAAGCACACAGTAAAAAAATGTCAGGTATCTTTCTTTGTAAAAATCGATGTTTTAGGCTGCAAAGGATTAACACGCTTAAAAGGATTAATCGTAGAAACACGATTTTCCCACCAGCTAAGAATTTTTTCCTCCGACGGAGACTGTCGATTTTCGGCTAGAGGTAACTTTTGACCCCCCGTCCAACGCTCCGTCCCTTGATACGCTTAGATTAAGCTAGGCATAATGTATCCCTTAAAACGCGTACCTTAAGCACACCCTGAAGCCTAGTGTACCAGTCGCAGCAGATAAAAGATCGGTGCCTGGAACGTCCCAGGTACGAAATCAAAATTTAACGCGTTCGTGAACTATGTAGACATTTGATTACGTTAGATGTGTGCTAAAATTTGTCTGATTTGATGAAATGGTCATTAACGCGTTAACCGCCTAACATGAAAACACGAAACACTTCCTGGTTCGAAAAGATACGCCTGATACGTTCGAGGTACCGATGCAAACCAAGTACCAAAAGATTAAATTGTTCCGATGTGTATGAGGTTGTAGCCGTAAAGATAATTTGTACATAATGGAAAAGAGAAAATAGTGTACAACACGAACGAAAAAGGGAAGAAAGGAAACAGAGCCATACGCGTTATTTTAATGAGCCGCGAAGCGGAACAGACGACAGAAAAGAAAAAAGTGGGTTTGATTCTCGATTACTTTAGAGAGAAGGTGGTTGCCCCCGTGGTTCTGATGCCGGCTGCGCGTTAAACTGATTGAAGAGCTTTTTAAAAAGAAACCTTTATGATAAAACAGTAATATTTGGCTTATTTCTTAATTGTACCATCTCTTTAAAACGTAGACCCTTTTGAGCCACCGTTGCTCGCAAAAATCAGTTTCCCACGCAGCTGGCGAATCAAAGGACAGAAAATTATATCCAGTGAGCGGAAATGTCGTTTCCGGCAAATTGGAGGGGGTTAGCGGATGAACAGCAATAAATCAAACATTGAGTCCACGTGAATAGAGTATATCGAAGTTTTCGCGCGTTTCAACGTGTACAATAGTATATTAATTTTGTTGCAAACTTTTGCTATACGTTTCTCGATTATCGTGGCAACCACGAACAGGCACAGCCGTATTGCTTCACCGCTGATAGTACAAGCATGCCATTAGTTTATAATTCGTTGTTCGTTTGACGAGAAAACGCAACAGTATTTTCTCTAGCGAGTGGTGCTTTCTGATTGTGCGTTTTGTTTTCGACCGCGCTACGTTTGGCACCGGGGAAAACTTTCCAGACGAGCTGCCATATTGGAACATTTGAAGTTAGGAGGTCTCGGGTGATTTCGGGGTGTACAGTCAGGTGCAACGTAGGCTCCTCTGTTCGATGTAGAAGAAGAAACGATCTTGGGAAAATCGATAGAAAGGGCAAGGCATGAAATCTAGAGGGAGGGGCCTCACCTAGAAGTAAGGCCTAACCCAAAAAGGGGATCGAAGGGCTAGGGGAGGCCTAGGAAGAATCCTTCGTCTACGCTTCCTCGAGAGAAACCTAAATTGCGCCCGACCATGACACCTTCAAAATTTCACTCGATTACACCCTGTATTTTCTCACGTTTCTGCAAGTTTTTCATCAAAAAATTTCGATCACTTTTATCTAAATCGGTCTTCCTAATGAACTACCCAATCGTTGTCGATATGCACCTTAGTTATGCAATTGATACAGGGTGTATAAAAAATGCCACGATACATTAGTGCACGCAACAATATGTCGACCTCCTCACCTCCGTACTGTTTCTTTTTCCTTTTGCTGTTAATGAAATATGTAACGTTAGAGGTGGCCGACGCTCTCCTCGGTAGCCAATGTTCAATAACGTTTTTTATATTCTATTGTAGTAGAATTAATGTCGCTGCTACTGCTGCTACTGATACCACTATTTTCGTTAATATACCGGAAGTGCGTTAAATGTTTTTTATACAAGCTCGATTTAACGTTTTTTAGTTATATTACGATATTTAATTTGTTCGTTAGTTATTGTTGTTATTATTATTATTATTATTATTATTGTATCATTACCATTATTATTACGTTATTATTAACTTACGATGATATTGGTTCATTAAGTTTATCGATAAAATAGATTGTAAAACGCTCTAATATGGGGAATACGTTGTTAACAACCAAAACCTAGATGAATTTTCTGTATACAGTGGAAACGTTTCGGTCAACGAGAAATAACGTCGAAGCGTTTTCATGAAAGCGAACCATTTGTACAGACGCGGAGATAACGATGCCAAACATTATATATTATTAATACTGACACTATTGCTACTACTACCGCTACCGCCTATTATTATTCATTCTCATTATTATTATTATCATTATTATTATTATTACTATTATTATTATTATTATTATTATTATTATTATTATTATTATTATTATTATTATTATTATTATTATTATTATTATTATTATTATTATTATTATTATTATTATTATTATTATTATTATTATTATTATTATTATTATTATTATTATTATTATTATTATTATTATTATTATTATTATTATTATTATTATTATTATTATTATTATTATTATTATTATTATTATTATTATTATTATTATTATTATTATTATTATTATTATTATTATTATTATTATTATTATTATTATTATTATTATTATTATTATTATTATTATTATTATTATTATTATTATTATTATTATTATTATTATTATTATTATTATTATTATTATTATTATTATTATTATTATTATTATTATTATTATTATTATTATTATTGTATCATTACCATTATTATTACGTTATTATTAACTTACGATGATATTGGTTCATTAAGTTTATCGATAAAATAGATTGTAAAACGCTCTAATATGGGGAATACGTTGTTAACAACCAAAACCTAGATGAATTTTCTGTATACAGTGGAAACGTTTCGGTCAACGAGAAATAACGTCGAAGCGTTTTCATGAAAGCGAACCATTTGTACAGACGCGGAGATAACGATGCCAAACATTATATATTATTAATACTGACACTATTGCTACTACTACCGCTACCGCCTATTATTATTCATTCTCATTATTATTATTATCATTATTATTATTATTACTATTATTATTATTATTATTATTATTATCATTGAAATATTATCGATCATTATTATTCTCAGATTACACGATTTTTTTTCATGTTACACTCACAATGAATTTTCTTTTGTATTATACAACTCTTTTGTTCGTTGCATGCGATTTCCACGAGTCTTCGACGAGTCGTACGATCATTCGTTTAACATCGTACGTCGTATCGACGAGATTTCCGAACAGGTTCCCTCTTGTAAATTTCACGAACCTCGGTCGATACACCACGTTGTACAGGGTCGTCTATATACATAATTATTTTTCATTCGTATAGACACGCATGTACATTCCTCTAGGCTTTCTCTAGACTCCAATACAGAAGATTATTACTTATTCGACTTCAGATAAAATCAAGAAAACCCAAAGGGAATTTACAAAAAGTTTAGAGAGTCTAGAGAGAGACTTCCTATCCTTCCCTAAGTTGCTCCTCAAAATTATAATTAGTGTTTCCAACTGTACTATTATACAGAGGCTCATCAAAAAGTTAGCGTCACCTCGGAACCATCCCATTTATTGGTAAACTAAATTCGTGTCGGGTTCATTCCCGGTTGATGTATTCGCATGGACTCGTCGGAGATGCACTATCGATCGTGGTATTATCGATCAGTTCGCAGCACTGCCGTGGTTACAACGCCCCCTCGATCGCGTCGCAGAATCCCCATAATATAGCAACGTGGCTCGACCAAAAGGGAGTAGCCTCTAATTTGCGACGATGCTGCTGCTGCTATTCCAATCGACGGCATCCCCGACACGCTCTCGACACCCTCGGTGTTTGCGCGAATTCGCATCTGTGGTAGAAACGTGCAACGAGGGTTGCAAAAGCAACGAGAGAAAAGGGCAAAAACGAAAAAATGAGGAGAAATCGCACGCTCGAAGATGAGGGTAATCCACGAGGGGGTCTGGGCGAGTTGCGATAGTGTTCGAGTCGCTTTAAAGCGGGATATGCTCATATCTCGTGAACCTGCGTCGCTGTCGAAAACGTTCTATCGACTTTAAGCTGCTCGACAGATACATTCTTGCAGTAGCAGCTCCGCTTTAATAGTAAAACCCCCCGTGGCTGGTAGAATTTATAGGGGGTGGGCTTTAGAACATAAACCCTCTTCCTCTCTGTGTTCTTTCTGTTCCTCTCGCTCTTCGTTCTTCTCTTCTTTGCTTCCTCCCTGTCTCTATATATTTGCGTTTTCATTCTTCCGTTCCTGTTTCTCCTTTTCCTCGCTTTTGTTTACGTTCCTTTTATTTCTCGCTTTCCCCTAGTCTCTCTTTTCTAACTTTCCTTCAACCTGCAAGGTGGGGTCTATCAGATCACGGCAACTTTTACTGTTTTTAATTTACATGTAAATTTATAAACATTTCGAGTGCATCGACATATTTACGTATGTAACAAAATTACCGTACCAGTAGCTTTCCATTTTCTGTTCCTTAATGAATTCTCCATAATTTCCCAGTTCCAGTTCACATTTGTCTTTCAAAACTGTAACAATTATCAGCAATGATAACTCGCCCTTCAAAGTACGATATATTTTAAAATTAGATCACTTATCGCAATTACGCATGCGCAATATGGCGGTTACGGTCGAATCGATCGAATTAATCGAACGACAGTTACGATCAATTTTCGTAATGTATTTTGTGGTTATATGATTCATAAAATTGGTTCAGCATTGACCACATTACGTAAAAGTAAATGTCTGTTAAACGGTATAAATCACATACCTCAATAAGATTAATACTTCTGAATTGCAGATATATAACATTATTAATTCAACCGACAAAGATACCGGTTCAAAACCTTCATTAAAGCAATCTTAGTTTTAAACATAATTTCCTGCGTGATAAATGATGTCAGTATAACAATAATATCGATAATCGATACTATCAATAACAGCAGTTCTATCAGATCATAAATAATCAATCGGTCCTTGAAGTTTTGGAAGACAATCTTCCCTTCATCGTCCTAGCTAAATCCATACTTGCAAAATCCATCGTTGCTAATACATACATTCCCTTTAAGCCACGTATCTCTCCTGGTACTCTCCTGGTTCTCCCCTCTAGCTCTCGATCCTCGCAATGATCCGGGGCTCTCCCTCTTGGCGGTTCGCAACTTCGATCTAACTGGGCAGAGTTAACGCAGGAACAGACAACGAGAACGAATGGCTGCATGGCATCAGGGGCAAAATCAGTTCAATGAGGAAAATTAACACGTTACAGGGCCACGTCGTGATGGTTCGATATCCAGGAATGGCGAATTCACAAAAATCCTTGTTTCGTGACAGTTGAGACATGAAAAAGATGCGAGCTAAATTTTTGTAGAGGTTAGAAACCGTGCGCGTACGCATTGCATTGTGGGCTTGTCGATAAATATCGAAAGATTTATGACATTCGCTAATATTGAAATTTGCAATTCTATCGAATGAATTCCGAAGACTAGACAGATCAATGCTCAGAACTCGATTTCGTAAAAAAGAGTTCATGGTCGATCGAATATTTAACCGGAAGTATACGATTAGTACATTCTTTTAAATTCTTGTACAATAAATTAGTTTATTAGAAAGTCTAAGCGCGGGACTCAGTGGAGCTAACGGCGGTAATGGATAAATAATCATAATTTTCATATTTTAGATCGTTAAAGAATGATAAAATCAAAGAATTGTTCATAGTAACTCTCCAACAGTAAAAGAGAATCGAACTTATCAACAATTTTCGAATTATAATTCTTAATCATCAAAAAACCAAATGAACATGTAGCTATAGTTACATGTTTGTATTATCTTTGTATTTAAATCACTACTTACGATCGCGTTAATTACGAAACAATCGGAGATTATGGAGAGGAATAAAACGTAAAGATCGCGTGTACATTTGTATACCACGTTACAATTATACAAGAAAGCAATATCAACAATGTAGTATATATACACGCGTACAAAATACACAAGCACATATGTACACACGGGATACGTAAAATTACATATAACTACTTTCGATTGGAGCAGTAATTAATTGTAACTTTATCAATCGGTTGTAAATTTCGGTAGTAGATGCTTTGTAAGATTGTATAAGTGCTGTGCATATTGTATATACAGGGTGAAGAAGCGATTAAAAAGAGAGAATTGTAGCAAACAAACGTTTAGAACAAAAATTGTTGTCCGAAGGAATAATGTGTCTTATTGTACATGGCAAATCGCGAGAAATGTTTCTCGTAAATGAACTCTATCGGTTACGAATAATATAGGTGTGTTCCTCTTACTAGATGGAGTAAAGTACATATAATAGTTTCATAATTACCTGACAACAAAAATACAAAAAAGATATAGATTACAAAATCACGAGATCTGCTTTGTCTTGTTATAATCAAATACTTTATATTATGTAGTACAGGTTGTCATTAAACGTGTGAACAAACCTATATCATTAAAATCCTTTTTTTTTTAATATAAAATTATTAAAACGATTAATCTTTATACTTTTTTGTAGCTTATTTTGTAGTCTGATTGCTATTTTAATTTTTTTGCAAATGAAATCATTATCTGTACAGGGTAAGTAAATGATTTTTTACTTTTAATACTTAAGGCGCTTCTAAGTACACTCTGTGAAATGGAAAGTACATATTTTGTATTTCTTTATATGTCTGTATTAATTCAGAATAGATTAAAGATTTTATACATTAACATACAATATTTTTCTTTACAGAGAATTACAATTTTCATATTATATATAATATACATAATACTTGATCATATTTTGGTACATACTTATGCACTAAGTTATATGTATTATATATATATACATATACATAAAATTAATACAATATTAACAAGTTCTCATTAAAAACTTTCATTAATAATTATTATAAATTCTTGATGTATTAAAAACATATGGAATGTTTCTTAAAAATTATAAGTCTGTTTTAAAATTAAGTTAATAACTAAAATTCGATAAAATTCCAGTATTTGTCAAAAATATTCTGCCTCTAATTCGTTGATAAAACGGGTTTAAGTATCAATTTTTGACTAGATATAGTAAAATATTCTTCCAACATTGAAATATAGTACTGTTTATTAAATTTTTGTAGAAAATAATGATTAGAATAAGAAACAGAGAGAAGAAATATATTAAAGAACGTAATATTTATATACAAATATTTCTTGAAAAACGTATATAACAAGAAAAAGTATTATACATTAAACGCAACTTCAAGATAGCGTAGCACTTTGAATCACTCATTTATATAAACAAACTATACTAAGATAATCACGAGATTGTTTTATATATTTTTAAATTATAAAAATATATTATTCGAATTGTTGTAAAATGTACTTTCCTTGAAACGATGATTTACTATTTGTACTTCATGAAATGAAAATGTAATTTTTTGTATGTTCACTATATAACATTAAAATTGATATCAGTACATAAGTACTATAAATTTTGTAATTAGTAACGTATATATCTTTGCAGTTTTAGAATATGCCCTTATCATTTCATTGCATTTAGAGGACAAATACAAGTGTGTTGATCTATTACATTTTTAGTTTGTATTTTGTCTTTGTTGGTTCTGCATCGTTAACCGTGCTATTTCTTCGCCCAATGTGTCAATATTATCCTAAAAAAATAAATATCATAAAATATAAGGTTTTAAGGTTTCTATTAGTTATTAGTACGTCGACACTTACTTTTAACGTGATATTTTTAAATAATGCATCTTCTAACACTGCTTGAAGTTTTTGGTTTATTTCTAACGATAATTCCAAAGTCATATTGTCATCCGAAACTCGTTGATTATAAACGGAAGCCATTATCCCTCCATGTCTCGCTAATTCAGCCTGCAACCGCAGAAATGTTAAGATGAAATAACAAATTTAGAATTACGTTTATCGCGGATCACTAAACTTACTGCATTTCTCCTGCTTTTAATATGCTTGTGTGTAAAAATACAATAAAATTGTTTTTATAAATTTCACACAAAAAATCTACAATGAGGTTTATAAGAATTACATTAAAACTAAAATTTACCTTATATCTATCTCTTTCATTGTTGCCCATAGCACCAATATTTTCATGCAAAATATAATTTTGTATGATTCTTGTTTTCTTTTGTAGCTCCTCAACTAAGGTTCGAGTATGTTCTTCGAAAAAATCAAGCTTCTCTGCTTTTTTAGCATTGATTTCTTGTAATTTTATAATACGATCTATTAGCGTTTGTTTAGTAGGCTCTATAGACTGAATACCGTGATCACCATTAATACTATTATCTGATAAGGCACCATTTAAAGTATCTCCTGCAAGCAAGAATATGGTAAGTAGTAAAATGGTAACAGAAAACGCGGAATAATTAAATTCTGAAATCTAAGGACCTGTATTCAGTGAAATATTCGATCCAGTCCTAGATGCAACACCCAGTGAATTGTAAGGTGACGATGTTTCAAATGCCTCCAATTTCTTTCGACACTGTTGCAGCTCACGTGTCATCTCTTTCATACTTATTTGTTGCTTCCTCTTCAATACTGCATTTTCTCCTTGACTGTCTTCTAATTTCTGCGAAAGATTCTGCACCGCTTGTGTCTGTTCAGCAAGATGTTTAGCTAAAATTTCACATTCTTCCATTCTTAACTTTTGCTCCTGTGCAATTTTTTCTTCCAATATTTTAATTTTATCAGTTAGTTCACTTATACGTTCATGCAATGGTCCATGTTCTTGTTCCAGTTTTTTCATCTTAGCCTCAGTGGCCGTAAACTCTGATTGAAGTCGCACATTTTTATCTGTTAACTTTTGTGTAAAATCTAACATTTCTGCTTCTTTCTGACGACACGCGGACATGTCAGCCTCTAGTTCTTCGTTGACCATACGTAAATGGTTAATTTCTGCTTCAGTCGATGCTAAATACTGCTCTTTACTATACAATGGAAATAAAATATCAAAAGATCGTTTAAAAAATATATGTTTTATAGTGATGATACTTACTGTTGTAACTGAACTTTCATTCTTTCCAACTCGGACACTTTACTAAGCAACTCCGCAATTTCTTTTTGACGCTGATCTGCTAAAATCTTTAAATTATTCAAATTACTCTCGTAATTTGAACGATCTTTTTCAGCATCTTGTATCTTTAAACTAAGTGTATTATTTTCTTCAATTAGAACCTGTTGCCTATTTTTCAAGGTTTCTACTTCTTTTTGTAATTGTAGCCTCAACATTTCTTTGTCCTCTATCACGTGTCTTTCCAAAATCAAACGCGCTTGTTGTTCTTTTAGTTGTTGATCCAATGTGACAGCTTTGTTTTCTTCTGATTGTTGAAATTTCCTTATTGATTCTTGTGTTTCTTTACGCACTTGATCACATTCCTCCTTCATTTCATTAATTCTAATCTAGAAAAAGAACATCAAGGCCATAAGTTTATAATACAAATAAAAAGTTATGTGTGTTTAGCATCGTTACCATAGCTTTATCCAATTTCTGCTGTGTTTCCTTTTGCAAATCCATTTCAGTTTTAAGTTTATTTTGAGTCCATTTTAATTTTATATCTCTCATGTTCACATCTTCTCTCAATTTATCAACTTCTTTCTGGAGATCTGTTACTTCACGGTGTTTTCCGTCCAAAATATTACATATTCTCGCCCGTTCTCCTTGCATCTCTCTTAATTTGCATTGAAGTGATTCTTGTTGCTTGATCATTTCTTTCACCTTGCGTTCTGCATATTCTCGTGCCCTATGCAGAACAAAACAACAATTAACTAGTTATAAAATGCAATTTAAAAATGTATAATAACGTTTTAAATACCTTTGAGTATCAATTAATTGCTTTTCACTAACTGCATATTTCATTACCATACTTTCCCTTTCTTTATTAGCAGCATTATATTCTTTCTTCAACATTTCCTGCCCCGTTTGCGATGCGTGTAATTCAGATGTAAGCGTGTTTATTGTCCTCTGTAATGTTTCTATTTGTACAGGAAAAGTTTCTTCTTTATTTTCTGCTTCTAGTGATCTATTTCTTTCTTCCAAATATTCAACTTTTTCCTGTAACTTTAAATGCTTTGATTTCAAATCTGCATAGTCCCTTAACAAAGCAAGGTAGTCTGGATTCTGTAATAAACTGTATTTTGACTCATCAGAATGAATGTTCTCTTCTTTTTGAAGTACATCAGTAACAGTTTCCTGGGTAAAATTATTGCATTCAAGATGCGGTATGAAATTGATATTAGAATCCCCATTTGCATTTATGTAAAATGAACCACTGTTGCTATCATTGGTAGAATAGGATTCATGTTTTGTGTAATTCAGTTTACAGGTACTAACATCATTATTTTTATCAACCATGCTATCATCCATTGTATCATATTTATTATCTTCTGCAATATTCGTGAATAAATTTTCGTTGGAATTCTTTTTAGAAATAATCTCACTTTCATCGATTTTTATACATTCATTCTCTTTACTATCAGTTGTATTTTTTACTGGAACAACATGTTTTACATTTGTTGCTAAATCTGATTCACCGTTAAATTTTGAATGCGTTAAAAGAGGCTCGGTGCCGAAAATTTCTTCCGTGTGTTTCTTCTCGGTATAAACGTTATCTGTAGGTTTAATTACTGAATTATACTTCACAGCTAAATGTTGTGGTAACAATGCTTTCTCCATTATGTTTGTTGATTTCTCTGTAATAAAATTTAGGAAACTACGACTCTTGTTCAGAAACTGAGCATTGGATTGCATTATATTAATTGGATATGTTGGCAGTGAAATTTTAACTAATTTGCTGTCGTCAGTAAGAGTTGGTCTAGGTGTTCTTGTACTTTTCACAATTTCAGAAGATTTTTGTTCCTTACTAATACCTTCATTTATTACAATTCCTGGCTGTTTATTGTTCACCATTAATTTATTATTTATAGTTGAATGTTGTGCCATATAATTTTGATGTTCTAAAGATTTCATTTCATGTGGTCTTATCGCAGTTTCATATCCTGCAGCAATATTTTCCTCTTTATTGGTTGGTTCTGATTTTATTTCTTTACATTCATTTGAAGTCACCAAATTTTCATCATTATCAGAAATCACATGTGAAGGTAAACATGACAATGAATTAGATAATGTTGACGTAGAACTAACATCATTATATGAAGACGATTTTTGAAGACACTTTTCTTGCGGAAGGCTCATATCAGTAGATGGTATGTCACATTTCACAAACACATCTGAGAAATTACTTAAAGAAGTAGAACATTTTAGAGGATTGCTAATACTGTTTTCTTCCATCGAACAATACCTTTTATCATCATTTCTTAATAATACTGAATCTGTTTCGTTTTGAGCGATATTGTCATGTTCAAGTTCTTGTTGTATTGGCATTATTTCCCCTTTTGTTTCTGTGTCATTTTGAATCACTGTATTGGCAACTAAAAAGTAGCATTAAACGTATTGTTATAAACTTGTCAATGTCACACATTGTTTTTAAATCATAAAAGGCATCAAAAATCGTACCTTCTGTAAGTATGATGTCTGGTTTTATGCCGGAATCAATTTGATCGGAATTATTTGAACTGATTTCTCCCGTATAAGGCAATTCTAATTTTGTTTTGTCCATTTCACAAACTGTAAATTCCATTTTCTTTTAGATCAACTTTGATCTAAATATTATTTCTATTGAGAATCATTGATGTTGGTTAAATGCATTAATTTCAAATAAATTTACGATTATAATATTATGTGTCATTCGCGAAAGAATTAAAATTAGGAAAGAAAATATAAAATTCAGGAAGTTTTATCTGTCATCTGTGCTGTTTCTAACCCTCGCTGTGAACATGATGATCATAATGATACTATATTACTGAATCTAAAAACATCGACCAAAAATTCAGTTGACAGGAGCACTCCATACATGTGTGTGTGTTGCATTTATTTATATGTATGTGTTCACGTAGTCAAATAAATTACATTAGCAACAGTTGGTACATGTGAGTAGTCATTTAAACGATACTTTTTTTATTTAAAAAGTTATTCATATATTAATTATAATTTTTATTGAATTTTAAAATATTTTTTGTACTTACCTATACACGTATACTTATATGTATAAAATTACAAAAAAATCACAATAAAAAATATATATGTATATCAAACATTAGTAATAACAATTATATCTGAAATATAAATATATAGCATAGAACGATACTTAACTATATTATTTATACATATATATTCCCTTTCAACCACGTAAATGCATAAACATTTTAAATACTATAATGATAATATATTTATTAAATTAATAATTATATAATTATTTATAACAGAGAAATGATACAGAAATATTACTATGTCACGCATAGTTCTTATTATACTTCGGTTCCTTTGTTTACTCTGAAAAATTATAGTTTTAATATAATCTTTTTGCCTGATAATTAACTGATTACTTAAAAATAAAATTCAAGCTGTTTCATCGTTACTCCCGCTAATTATACGCCCACTATAACTGCGTTTTGTACCGAATCCTCCTGAGTTTTGTGTCTCGTACATTTTCCGATTTTCTAAGTAACGTCGATAATTATTTTCGCGTTTCCTTCGTTGTTCCTCCGCTTGTTGCCTCAATTTCTCTGGATTCATATGCGTTGTCACCATGTGCCTTGTTAACGAACTCATGAATTTATACGTGATACCGCACACGTCGCAGGAGAGTATCTCCTCATTTGCTCCTTGCTGAAATATAAAAGTAGACCAATATCGCGTTAAGATGAAATTATTATGTTAGTAAGAACATTGAAACAACATATTTGTTTCTTAAATATACAAATATGTCGTTTAATCGTTCTTATTTTATGTGATAAGTACAAATTGCAGAAAATATGAGAAACGGCAAAAAGTATATGCAACTTTTCTTCTTACAAGATCCGAACAATTTAAACACTAAGATCGTATTGATCATACGTACTTGTTGATGTACCATCATATGTCTCTGCAAATTGTTCAATCTGTTGAACTCTCGACCACAAACCTCACAGTCAAATTTCTTATCAGGATCATGATACTTTTTATGAAGATTGAGATCAGTTGCGTGTAAGAATGACTTATGACATACATCGCATGTGTGGGTCCGCTGGTCACCAGCCAAATGTGACTGCTCGTGTTTAACCAAACTAGCTTTTTCTACGAAGCGACGACCACAGTAAATGCACGGAAGAGGTCGAGATTGTGAATTATGAAGCGTCAAGTGACGACGTAGAGCAGTAGATGTTGGAAAGGTTTTGTGACACTCGAGGCACTGAAATGGTCGGTCACCGGTATGGGTTTTTCTGTGACGAGCTAGAGAATTTTGATCGGGATATCTGTAACAAATACAGAAAGCCAAATAGTTTAACTAGCAGTAAATAATACAACATGATAAGGAAAAATATATTAAAAATACCTTTTAGGACATAAATCACAGGGGAAATTTCTGGTTGTAATATCTTCTTCACGAGCATGTTTTAGTCTGTTATGTCGAAGTAACTGAAAAGATGTTTTGAAACTTTTATTACAAATATCACATTTCAAGTTATCTGTTGTTGGTATAATGACTTGTGTTCTCTTCTGGCCATGTTCATCTTCAGATATTATCAAGGATATAGTCACTGTGTTATCTTCATTGTCTATATCAGGAGCTGACACTACAGAATTCTAAAACATAGCAATGGCAGAAATAGATGAATGTAGTTATGATTTAAACTTTGTTCAGGTAGTTGAAAGTACCTGTTTATTATTGTGAGATTTGAGTTCATTATCTGGAACAGAAAAAGATACTTCTTCAGCCTGTCTGACATTCTGAGATTTCATTTGTGCTTCCTTTCCATCATGATCATCATTAGTTTCTGCAATTGCATAATGTCCATCTTCAGTTAAATACACTGGTTGTAGAATTCCATTATCATCTTTGAAATATAATTGACCATCTTCATCCTCATGTAAAAATATTTGCTCCTAAAATATAATGTATATGAAATTATGTATTAATTACATAGGGAATTAAGAAATTAATTTTAATATTTTGTTTAAATGGGTACCTGAGAATTTTCTTTTTCTTGATTTTGATTGCTGTCAGAATTACCTGCTTCCCACGCCTGTTCTTCATTTTCTATTGTTGCAGCATCATAAGCATACTGTTCATTGGCATCTACAGCCTGTGCAACATACAATGTCTCCATGTTATCTCCTTCATAATAAATTGTTCCTCCAACTGGTATGGAATTTTCATCAAGATGCTCCATCTAAAAATGGGAACTTTACTTTTATGGATAGTAACAATGATACTGAAATAACTTAATTGCACAAACCTTAATATAATGTGCATCTGGAAGCTTATCTTGTAATGTCTTTGTAGAACTTTGTTTTTTAGTGCCAAGAACAGTGTATAATAAATTATTTTCAACATTCTTCACAATTTCATGACCCACATTATTGTCAACGCTTTCAACATTATTTATGTTACATTTAAAACCTTGATTTGATTTCGATTTTTCTGCCTTATTCAGAGATCCTACATTGTCATTACATTCTGTTTTTATTTGTAAAGGAAAATTAATTACTTGATTATTTGTACATTTCTTCTCTTCACTTGGTGTTTTTTGTCTTTGTAAATTTTCTGTGCAATGATTCATTATATCAGAATTTTCTTCAAACTCCCCTTCTTCCATATCTTCATCTTGCCAGTCTTCATCCACATCATATGTTATAACTTGTTTCTTATTATTTTTATGCAGATCTGTCTTCTCCCTTTCTTTCTCTGAAGTTGCTTTAGAACCAGAACTGGTTTCGTCAAAAGTATAAATTTTTATATCTGAACTTTTATCAGATTGTTCATTTTGCAATGTTTCAATATTCTGATCATTTTCATCCACCTGCTCATCTCTATTTTCTTTATCATTTACAACCTCATCGCTCTGCAATGATTCTTCTTTATCCTCTTCTATTTCCTCTATTATTTCTATAATTTCTTCAATTTCTGCTTCTACAGAATCTTCTGTAGTTTCTGGGTGAAATATAATGTTCTCTTGTTTAACTGCTTGCTTTAATACTTCCATCACGTCTTTGTCATCATTAATATCTATTGAATCCAAGATTTCATGTGACAATTCCATAGTAGTTTTCAATTAAATATCGATGTCTACAATATGACATTTAACAAAATTTTACTTTTTATATTTATTTTCTATGTTAATAATTCTAAATAATTACATTATATTATGCTACATAGCATTATTATTTTATTTGATATAAATAATGTCACAATTTCAAGTGTACAAAATATATGTTTTCGGCGATGAGATATATTAATTGTAATAACAATACAAGGTCAAAATCTATTAAAGTATAGTACAATTACATCAAGTAATCTATAACAGAAATCTTATGTGTTATTTTTATTTTATAAATTTGACAAGTAGGTAATTAGTTTCACAGTAACAAAATACTTCATTTAATTTTTATCTATATGTATTCGCAACTTTGATATATATATCTAAATATATAAAACATTTAAATACTCAATCCATATATTTTAGTAGACAGAATGTACCATTATAAGGAGTAATTGATATTTTCAGTAAATGTTAAAAGTTGAATTTAGTGTAAAATTTCATAATTTACAAATTCTTCTTTTACAGATTCAATTCATTTTTATATATACACATTATTTGTATTATATAATTGAATTAATCAAAATTACAATATAATATAGAAAATTTATCGTAATACACTTCTTCAGAAATATCCGCTCTTAAATTGATTTGTGTGAACATTTGAAGCTTCCGTGAATAGCGTGTATAACACACATCTATTTAATAATACACATCACATTTTTAATGTGCCATGACAGTATTAAAAGAAATGTTTACGATCAGAGATCATTTGAAACATCAGAACAAACATGGATATTTTATACATATCAAGAAGTACGCGGTTCACCAGTCGGTACGAAAATGTCTTGCATTTATCAACGGATAGCAAAATGGCTACAAAACAGCAACGATTATCTCCTTGAAAAGGTACACGCTACACAATAAAATGACGAAAGATTTAGCGGAGAAACGAACAAATATGTACACAGTTTTGTTCACTGTACCTGTGTGTTAAATAGTTAAAATGTATAAGTAGCAATGGAAAAAATTGTTTTTGCTCGGTCGATACGCGCCAATACAATATTTTTCTCTATATCCCAATAAGCAAGTGACGCCACCTTAAACATTGCAAAGTCATGAAACTAGAAACGTAGGAATAGAGTGTAAGCTTGAATTATAAATTAAAAGAGCGAATGCAACATGAAAGGGGGACTTTATTAACCTATGTTCGAAAGCAAGCAATTATCCTTTTCAGTATGACGTATACGCGACTATTTTAGAAGTTTTTAGTTTATAGGCTTTTGGAAGTACGAACTTAGAAATGTATGCATTCCAAATTTAAAATTTTAGATGTTTAGGCTAAATTTCCATTGAATGAAAAAAGGTGGGTGTGAAGTATTCGCTAGTGCCTCTTTAGCGCAATGCTGGATAAATGCCTCCGTCAAAGAGCTTTTATTTTATGTATTATTTATTTTCAGTTCATCATAATAGCTTTAAAAAATTTAATGATTATCAATTACTTATAGCGATTATATTTTGTTTGTTTCGAACAAATAATTGTATTACAGATAAGCGTTTGGAACTACAATAATTAATATAAATTTATCTAGCGGTCATTATAAATTTTAATTATAATTAACTTGGCGCACGCAAAATCTATAATCAGTTTGCGTACAATCGAACAATATAACGATAAATTTTATTGTACATAATATCGATTGATGTATCGAAATATATCGACGAATGTGAATCTGAGTACTTATATATATGTGCGATGTAAAAATACAAAATGACTGTTATTTTGTAGTGGATTACGTTTAATTAATTGTGAAAAGAATGTGAATATTATTTCATAACATCTTCGTATCCATTGAAACGCATTGTTTAACTGAATTGATTTTTTTATTACAAAAAATGTGGATTTCTTTTCTATTCATTATTTTTCTAACCTTTGATTTTGCAATGGCTTCATCTGCCTTTGATTTTGGAGATACTTTAGCATTAATTCTTGGATTGATCATTGGTATTATTGGATTCTTCGCCTGCATGGGTGCGTATGCACGACATCGAAATCAGTTGCCACCATTGTCACAGGAATACAGCTGATTGTAAGTATATTGTTGTCTACTATTTGTTTTATTTTAGCTGTGAATAATGATTTGACAATAGCTTTGATATTTGCCTTAATACGTAATATAATATAAGAAAGCAAATAGTAAGTATTAATAACGATTCAAAACTTTATGGATTAATAACAATAAATTTGATGATATTTTGTGCGTAATCAAATATTTATGTAAATGTTTTATATCAACTGATATCTATTATTAATTCCTACTTAAAGTTAAATAATCTGACTTTTATGGTCATTTTTTATACTTTGAATAGTAAATTGTCGTTGTTTTTAGTTGTTTTACATAGTTTGTTAGTAACCGATTTTATTTAAATTGCAGGCTATTGGATACATAAAAAGTTACAGAAGAAAATGCTTCGAATAATAGATTTACGTATTTTGAATACTATACATTATTCAATTTAATTTATAAGCAATAGATTCAGAATGTTTTATCAATAAGAATAATTTTTATAATTGTGAATTACTCATAAAAATATATTAAACTATTTTTGTATACTATTCCACTAGCATAATGGATTTATTAAATACGTTTAAATAAAGACAATAAAATGTAAATATCGGTTTAAATAATTGTGTATTAAAATCATGTAATTATATGCAATAAACTTAATAATATAAATCAAAGTATTTATAAGCATTTAACTTATAAATATTTTCAACACTGCTTATAGTTAGCATCAATGTATGAATCGTACATGTAACGTATGATTTATATGACGAGACTTAACTAAGTTTTAAATTTGGCATACCTAGAAGTAAACACAAGATATAGCATGTGCTATGTCAATTAAAAAATTACATATTGTTGTCTATATAATATATTCATAAATTTTCATAAATGTACAATGCATTAAATAACATCAGAAGCTGTATTTTGCAGTTTTTTTTTAATAAGGAACAGAAAATATTATCCTGAATAGGATTCATTCAAAACATTCTAAACTCCTCTGTATTAATCAAAGTTACAATTAAATTTATATTAACGCAATTTCAATGTCCATCAATTATAATTTCTTTCCATATACAAGCAAAACATTTGAATTGAAATTTTACGTTAATTTGTCATTGTTGAATGCTGATGCATATCTAATCAGTCTTTATAAAATCTTTATAGAATTCCACGCAACATAGTTTACACAAACCTTAAAGCATGTACGAACTTATATACTAGTTAGTACAGGAAAGCTCTTTGATTATTCTTGTCCAAATGTTCTCATATCTTTTTCATTTTTATTACAAGCAAATTAACTAATCACTAATATGTGATACCAAAGAATTTAAATCACTTTTTGGATAACAATTATGTGTTTCTTTTTTTAAAACTATTTTTGCATGCTTTAATCAGTGAGTTTTAATTTCTACATAAGCTTTCAGTAATCTGTAGATAAATTTAAAAATTCTGCTTCCTGAGACAAGATTTTGTTTTTATCTTTGAACATGAAAACCAAGAGGATGAATCGTTTTTTCTCAAAGAATCATTAGGTAACGTAATTTCATAACATAATTAACATGTTTTCTTATAATTGCGTTTTTAAAATTTCATATGTTTGTTCAAAATAGTATACTTATACGTACAATGTATATAAATCAACAAATTGTATACACACATCACATGTATGTATATACATGTATGTATGTATTATTTTCAATTAATATAATGAATTCATTAAATAAACTAAAACGATTTATAAATTAGTTCATTAAATTCTGATCCATCAATATGTACTAAGATTTGCTGTGTGAATTTTTAAATGTAGCAAAATATGTTTTGTCTTTTTTGTCATATTTTCTGAAAAATATATCGTAATACCTAAGTTTGAATGTACTAAGTTCAATTCCATCAAGTTAGGTGCCATATTGGTAGAAAAGAATTATGATGAATTTATATTGTGTTTTTTTCCATATGAAGTAGCATAGTTTGATATTCTTTGGTAAAACAACAAGAATGTTTTACAAAAATTACTCTGATTATACCATTGATGTAATACTAGATATAGTTAAAATCACATTATATTTAATTGGAAGGAAATAGTCTGTTGCAATATTATTAATGAAATAATATCTGTTCCTATTGTCTCTTTCATTCGTTTCATCACATTCAATAAATAATTCTGTAAATTATATCATTGAAAATTGTCACGTTAAACGCATTTTATTTAGAAAAATTTAAAATATCCAGTTTTTTATTAATAAATATAGAAATTGCATTCTCATCGAAAGCCAATCCACCAAACAGTAAATGAACAATAATATATACAATAAGTATTACACACTATATGTTCTTTGAGTATTATCTAATAAATTTATTTAAAAGTAACTATATAAGATTAACTGCAATGTATTTCCATAAGAAATACGTACAATTATCTATTGAATTGTTTCGTTCAACAGTCACATGAATTTATTATCAGGTGGATCAACTGGACTCGAGGATTGGTGATCGTATTTATTTTATATCATGAAAAAATAAAGGAACATAATAATAAAATTATAATATGTAAAACGTATGAGTAAAATGTGCATGAAAGAACTCAGAGAAATTTATCAAGTTTAACGTAATTATAATCAGTATACTGATAATTGGATATTATAAAAGGGGTTCATATTCAATTTGAAAACAATGTTCGTAATTGTAATACTGACAATAATAAATCCATGTCAGAAGCAGTAGTAACTCGCAACATTAAAAGCGGCGTGAACTGCAATCATTTGAACGAAATAAAGATAACATTATAATCATCGGAAAACATTAGTAATATTCGTAGTTATATAAACAAGCTATTCTTAACTATATTGCAATATGCAATACGTGATAGCACAGATAAAAATTTAAAATATATATATATCCTGGAACATATTCTATGCATTAAATTATTCACTTTGATATCATTAAAACAAATATGAATTTAATGTCTATGCCATGTTACTATTGAGCTTTCTTTTTTTCTTTCCTTTAATTTTCCAATAGATATGCCAATTATTTTTTAAAGATATCATTTAATTATTGGAAATTAAAGTGCTAAATAATAAAATTCCTAAAATATTCAAAATAGATTGTGCAAACGTACCGTAAAGAAAATGCCGATTTTTATCAGATAAATTTCAATAAATCAAACGTATGATAATAAAAATATTGGAAAAAGAGTCTAAAAAAAAGATATAATAAGTTGATATAATATTAGATAAGATACATGGGACTGCTAACTAGTAACACATGACTTCTTTTTTTTTTAATTGAAGTAGGTAAAATCGCTAGAAATACATTAAAGCATAACAGTGACTATATTAATCATATTTTTTTTCTTTGCCTGACTCCTGCAATCACATACATGCACACGTAAACATACATTCTCTCTTCGAAGCATTCAGTATACATTAACAGTTATACATATACATCGAGCAGAATGGCTGTACGCCATTTCATTCATAAGACTAGCTGAGGCCTGTACTAATGTGGACTGTGCTGCTAATAAATTGAGAGCAGAAAAAGTCTTTCGAGAAGCATCATTTTCACTAACGAAGGATATCTACTGTATAAGGTATAAGCACAGTACATGTAAAGGCCTCTATCCTCAAATTTCAATATCTTTTTTCTCCTCTTGTCCAGAAACATAATTCGTTCATTCAAAATATTCTCCGTGTTCATATCTGAGTTCTTATTCTTTTTCTCTTTTGCTGCGAGGCACATAATCAAACATTAGTATCATGCTCACGCGTAGACAGCAAGAATATTTTAGCAATTACGTAATGGATGTTGCAATATCAAATACATCCTAAATACTTTCATTTGCGCCTCCCCGCATACGTATCCACGAGGATCACTGTAGCAATACGTATTAGCAAAATTATATTAGAATAATAGATAATGTATGATTTCGTACTAGCAGATAAGAACAACAAGTTAAATAAACAACATATTACGGAAATGAATAAGTCGAAATATAGACTATAATTTGCTAAATATTACGTTATTGATCAGTATGGGAAAGAGGAGCAGTTGAATTATCAGTATTCGATTGTAAAGGTTCTGCTGGTGGCGTGCCATCATGAGAACTTCCTATATGAGGAGTAGCTGGAGTAACTGGTTGAGACTGAGACTGAGACTGAGGTTGAGACTGAGGTTGAGATTGAGACTGAGACTGAGACTGAGATTGAGACTGAGACTGAGATTGAGATTGAGATGCTCCAGGAGGAGCATATATTAGTCGATAACCAGCCGGTAAAAAGAAACCGCCATGTGGTGTACAGCTGAAGGTTTGGAAGTTGGGTAATGTTTGATTTTCATGGTACTGGATATATGCCCCACTTCCCGTTGAACTTGATATAGGTATAGATGTAACTAACGATCCCGTCGAAGATACTGCAATGTTTGTTCCATCCGATAGCATAGGTGTAAACTGATACTGCGTTGAATTTATAATTGTTGGATTATGCGTTGAATCAAGAGATTCTGCAACTTCACTTGTGTAACTACTGGACTGTTGAGAGGGCACATTTTGCATAGTTTCGGAAGGCACTACTGGAATTGGAATAACATAAGCATGTGGTATTCCAGCTGCTGCCTGTTGCGGTTGTAGTTGCAATGGAGTTTGTTTTAATTTTTGCATAGCTAATCGTAATGTCTCGTCGGTATCTGGATAATTACTTGGGGCTTTTTGTAATGGAGTTTGAGGTGTTGTATTAAACATTAAATAGTCTTCAGCACTTGGAAGTCTAGTTTGGCCTGTTTAAAAAAAGAGCTGTGTCATTACAATAGATTATGGAAATGTAACAACGTAGAAATCTTACGTTAAATTTTGCTTTTTATATATTAAAATTGTTTCTAACCTGCTATACTAGTTGTTACGGTATGATAAAGCACTGGATGATGTTGGTGATGATGCTGATGAAGTGCACTTGCTTGCTGTTGTTGCTGAATCAATAACTGTAATTGATGTTGTTGAAAACGTTCTAATTCTTCCCTATGTCTCCTTTGCAGTGTTTCCAATTCCATAGTTTGTCTACATAAGCATAAAGTTATTTTATAATTTCATGGAATTTTTATATTAAATAGTTAGGGACACAAACTTACTTTTTTATGAGTAACTGATATTCTTCGCTCGGTGTCAGTGTCCAGAATCTTTCATCCTTTTCCAGTTGCTGTAAGAAGTATACCAATAGTTTGATCAATATGTTTTCAATAACAATTTTTTTACTTGAAATACTTACTTCTACTACAGGGGCGGTAATAGGCTGCGTAATTTGTGTGGGCGGAAGAGATCCTTCACGACTATGAATCACTTGCACTGATGTACCTACAATTGAAAAATATTTTAGCTTCAAATGTCTAAAACTAAATATACGCAACAGTGCTTGTAACAACCCTTCGTTTCTTTGAAGATATTTAAACTGTATCTCTTACCCTGCATGTCATCTGTATGATAAATCTTTGGATCTTCCATTTGATTTTTAGGTATATCAGTATGTTGTAGTTGTTGATTCGACGTAGCAGCACTAATAGGAGGACCTGCGACCTTGGAAACCACAAATCTTGATATTTTTCTAACGGGTTGTATAGTATTACCCTTCTACCAAAATAAAATAATTACTATTCAAAGAATACCTGTTTGGCATATTAGAATCTGATGACGTAAGTTTTCAATTTACCTCAGAAACATTTTCTTGAGGTTCTATTTGGACTGGAGTATTCGTATCAGAGCGTGATGAAATGACACTTGGAGTAACAGTAGCGACAGGCACAGTAGCTACAGGTGGAACAGTAGTTAACAAACTTTGAGTAGGCTGCAAAGATGGTTGAACGGAACCAACAGCAGAAACAGGTGGTGTTAACGGTTGTGGCGAAGCTGTTGAGAGAATTGAGCCTCTGTGGTGAATCTTAGCCAATTCTTGTTCCAGTTCTTGTAGGCGAGATCCTGGCCTTTGCGTTCGAACTTTTATGCTCTCTTTACTAGGACTCATGGTTTCTGAACCTGTAGGGGCTCCTCCCGGTGTTGGACTATCGAGAGAGCAATCTACATGCTGAATAAATAAAACAGATTTATAGGACATATTATAATAGTACTTTTTACTACAACCTTGAATTCTTCGTTACAGATATAATTTTCTTATTAATAAAGCTTACAGTTTGAGAAAATGCAAGTGGATGAACGGAGCCTTCATGAGCTAAAACATTTTCACCGCTTGTTGGAACGTTGGGATCAGCCAGAGACGCGGAAGTTTGTGTCGTAGTCTGAGGCGATAAAGGACCCTATAAAAATTTGTTTATATTAGTCATGTTTAAGATATATTTAATTTTGTATAAACATCTTTAGTAAATAACTTACAATACCGTGCGCAGTCGAAATTGGCATACCAATATTGACAAGTTTCTGCTGCAAAGAATGCATATACGCGTCGCATCCTCCAATCATTTGATGATTATGAGGAGTAGCTGGATAACTTATAGGTGGTGTGCCTACGTTGAGTGCTTCGGACGGCTGACTTGTTAATTGTACAAGTTTTTGATGGAGGTCTGCTATCGTTTGTGGACCTGCTGTTCCACTCGAAACACTTACACCAGTACTTGCATCAGAAACTTTATCCAAAGAATTCTGTTGACTAAGTTTCCGGTGTTGTTGTTGCAGCTGTTGCTGTTGTAATATTTGATTTTGCGTGAACAATGCAGCGTCTGTAGATTCGACGATAGTATGCTCTGGAGTTATATCGTGACTGGAACTTTCAACCTCCGATAGTAGATGTTCGGAACTGATATGCCTAATATTTAAATAAAAAAAAGGAACCAATAATAGCAAATTTATATAATCTAATAAAAATGTTAATTAAATTCTTTATTAAAAATATACACACCCAGGTAAAACAGTTCCTTCTTGACTTTCTGTTTCTGGTATTTTGCCCTGAAGTTGTTGATCTGGAAGCTTTAGGTGAAACTGAGACTGATCAGGTAACACAGAACCTTCTATATTCTGTATTTCCTGTACGATATGTTGTTGCATAGGAGCAGTTTGTTGCAACTGCGGTTGAATTTGTTGCGGATGCCTAATTGGTATAGACTGTTGCATTATAGTTTGATGCGCAGATGCAATCCATTTTCCTTGCGCGGATAACGCATGAACCTGCATTCCTTGAAAATTTTGTTGTGTTATTTGGAACTGGGGATCTATTTGTTGAGTGGTATTCAACTGCATTGCCTGTTGCAAAGGTATTTGAGTTTGATGAGTTTGCTGACCAATCTGAAATGTTTGTGGAATTCCCTGTTGTGTCATATTCGCTTGGTAATTGTGTGGCAACTGCGACTGCATGTGTACCTGACTCGCTTCAGGTTGAATAGGTTGAAAATATTGTTCAGATTGAAAAGTAGGTTTATAATCGAGTATCGTAGCTCCTGCCATGGTCACAGGTTGGTTTGGCTCATGGCTAGTTAAACAATGTGGTGTTACGGATTTTGATTTTGGATTTGAAAGTATATTCGCCAAATTTTGCGCCAAGTCTGGAAGCGTCGATGAAACTTCCTTCGTTTTAAGAACAACTTTGGGAGCAACTTCTGCACCAACAACTTGATGAACAGGAACGGACATAGTCGATGGTACATTCATTACGTTTTGAGGAATTGTTTGAAGCTGTTGTACTGGTTCCAGGACAGTCTGAGGCAAAGAAGCGTTGTTTAATCCATCCTGTTGTGGAATAAGTTGCACATGTTGCATCTGAGGCATGGATAAATTGGGTACAGCCATAGGTTGCTTCTTATCATCGGTAAGACTGGTTGTCTCCGAAATCTGTGAATCCGTAGATATATTTGATGTGGTAGAAATATTTGAAATCCTGCGATTTCTCTCATCTATGATTGCAGTTGGCTGTAACTGTGGAATGGGTCCAGAAAGTATTACATATTGTTGATGCTGCTGTGGCATTTGTTGAGTATGGAATTGTTGAAGCGTTCGTTGAGTTTGCATTTGTCCCTGATGTTGGTGTTCCGGTTGAATATGTGTTTGCATCAAATTTGGTTGTGCAGTCATTTGCTGTTGCTGTTGCTGTTGTTGTTGTTGTTGTTGTAGTAAAACGTTGCATTGCATAGGCTGACTTTGATATTGCCCCTGTAAATTAATCCCATTTATAGAACTCTGAATTTGTAGATCTTTTTGTGATATACTTACCGGTTGCATTTGTTGAAGTGGTTGATGCGTTACCCCTGACCCTTGCATAGTGACGCTGTGTTGACTAGACTGTAGAACATTAACATTTTGCTGCATTTGTGGCATAGGTGGAACTGTTTGTCCCTGCATCACAGTTTGAGGAGCCGATTGCATTGCATGAATATTATCTACTTGCTCGACGCAATGAGAATTTTGTGGAATTGTTTCTGCGGTGGATTTTTCAGAAATAACTGCAGCTTGCGCTTCGACAACAGTAGCGTCAGAATCATCATGTTTTACTTGCGTCCCTTCTGTACTCACTTGCGAAGATACACTAGTCTGTGTTGTTAAAACATTAGATTTCTCTGCACTGTCTGCGACAGTAGATTCTTCCTCTTCGTTTACAACGACCTTTTGCTCGACCACGGGACTGACTGAGAAACGAGAAATTTTTCGCGTTGGAACTGGCGCAGTTAACGTAGCTACTTCAGCAGCTGATGAATCAGTACTTGCTTCTTTATTCGTTTCCTTGTCTTGAGGATCGACTGTATCATGAACCATGGATTCTGTAGATTTTTCAGTTACTTGAGTTGCACTCGAATTTTGTATTTGACTCTGAGTATACGTTGTCGAGCATTGATAAGATTTTGAAGTGTCATCATTTGACGTATGATGTACTTCTAAAACCGTGTCTGCAGACGTTACAGAGATTATACTTTCTTGAGTTGGATCAGTTGGATCACTCGATAAGTTCGTCGGTGTTAATGTGTCTGTATTCTGTGTGGAAGTCGATGATCTTCTCGATGCTTCAGCCGATGTATTTTCAGTACCTATCTGAGCGTCAGGTGTTTGTACGCTCTGCTGCTTTTCCATGTAGGTGTTGTTCGTGATATGAGAAATAATTTGATCAATTGGCAATAATTTCGTAGGAGTAGAAGTGTTGGAAGTTTCGTCTCTCTGTAAATATATAAAATATAATTAGTTACACGTTCAGTAATTAGTTTTCAGCGCAAAATAACTGGAAGACACGTAAATAAAACAAAGTTGGGTTAAAAACCAAATAATTATTACAAAGTTCACTTGAATAAAATCAATTATATTATAAGGTATGCAGTGGAGTCTCGTCATATGATTCTGGATTTGCTTTTATAAATTAAAAAATGTCCAAGATGTTTGAACGTCCAAACTTGAAATTTGAGGCCATATAGTGAGACTATACTGTACTTACATTAAATTACAATAGATAACACACGTTTTAAGGAAAATACAAACAAATGGAAATGTATTTATGAACGAAACATATAGTTTTCTTGCAACATTTTCAAATACGAAACACGTGAATCAAAACTAAATTAATGAAGGTATAAAACGTTTCCTTTAAACGTGATATTATGAACTGTCTATGGGATGAACTTACAAAACAAAGGAAATGTCGTCATATGATATTGCTGTGCCTTAAAAGATACACAAATGTCCGAACACAATGTATTGCAAATCAAAAAGGATGCACAAACGTCCACGACCATTGTGATGAAATATGGGAATCAGGGAAAGGTAGAGTAGGGACGATGAACTCACCGAGCGGTGTCTACGATGGACTTTGTACGACGATCGGTGGCTGCTTTGACGAGTTAGCGAGCCATGTCTCACCTGCTGCGTCCAAAACGATACACACCAAATTATACCTTGGGGTACACCCTTGCTTTTTTATTCGATCATGAGATATATATTTAGAGAATATGTTTAAAGTTATTTTAACCAGGGCCGGTTTATTAGTAAATACAATAACGAGTAATACAATTTGCGGCACCTTAATTTTTTAAATTAGAACTAAAAGCTAACTAGTTTAGGCTGTCGCCTGTTTCGCCCTATATTTCACCGGCACTGATTTTAACATAAAATTGTACTTCTTACTCTTAAAAATAGACTGCAAAAATATGACAATTATTCGAGTTTCATATATACAATACTTATAACAAATTAAACAGTCCTATAGAATGCATTATGGACTTTTGTGTATCAGATTCTTAAGTAGCAATAGATAATACTTGTGACGATATTTTTCAATTTAAAAGTTATGATCGAAATATATGTCGCTCTTAGTTAATAGATTATTTCGAGATTCTTATACCTAGAGATGCAGAAAAATACAAAATTGTTACCTTAGCTGTATCAAGACTGTGGTCACGTTCTCTAGGTCTACGGCTCGTAACTGGACTGCCACCAGCCGATTGATCTGGTGGACCATGTGCTACTAAAGGTAAACTACGGCTGGGATCTAAACGCAATTGTTTAACTATATCTTCAATCAGTTCTACGAATGTTTCACACTGCGATTGCGGCAATAAATTTTCTGCAACCTGATATAAAAATAAAAGAATAAGTTTTGGATTTCGTTTTTGAGAAGTGTTATTAATTGCGTGCTTACCAAATTATTAGCAATATCAGTAGGTACCATATCATCTCTATCGAATTTAAACGTTACAGTTTTTTGTTTACTCGTATCTAGCTGACATTCAACGGTCATCGATTGTCCCTCGTTGCTGCTTACAGACAAAACTGTTAGTTTGATGCCGGGTTTCTTGCGTTTTGTACCAGACCTTTTCACTTTAGATCTTTCTGATGCAGCGGCGTTCTCTGAAGTCTCTTGAGTTACTCTAAAATCAAAGGAGTAAATTACATTAACAAAAGGACATTTATATTATATTTCCCTCATAGGTGCAGTTGCCCATCACTAATATTAGACACTATAAATTTACCCTTCGCTTGATACTGTCGCTTGCGATGTAACGTTTGCATTAGTCAAGTTAGGTACATTCCCTTGATCTTGAATATTAGCTGGTACATCGGTTGGCAAAGACTGTATAGAATCCATCGTATCTTGTTTAGACAAAGATGATCTGTCTGTGGTGGAACTCTGATCCGTATTTGGAATAAAGTGTTGATGCTGTGAAGTTGTTATCGACTGCGCATTTACTCCAGAGGACATTGGTACAGAAGTGGGTACGCTGGAACTCTGTGAATATTGCATTTGAACCATAACGTTCTGTTGAGACTGCGATTGATGTCCTCCATTTGGAAGAAGTGTAGGCACATTTTGTACATTCTGTACATTCTGTACGCTTTGTACATTCTGTACGTTTTGTACATTCTGTACGTTTTGTACATTCTGTACATTTTGCACACCCTGTACGTTTTGCACATTCTGTACATTTTGTACACTTTGTACATTCTGTACATTCTGCACATTTGGAATTGTAGAAGTTACTGTATTTTGTATATGAGTCGCGGATGAGGTGCTTTGAATGTTTATGCTGGATGGTATTGAAACTGGAACTTGCCCTCCTTGTTGTATGTAAGGTTGCGAAGTTGAAGGCGCAGTTGCGTGGGAATACATTTGAGTTGTAGGCTGACTAGATGATAACATTTCGACATGCCCAGAAGAATTAGAACTGGTGTACGAATGATATATTTGCTGAGATATATTTTGCTGATATATGGGTTGTGTATTATATCCTGGAGTTGCTGTAGTACCTTGTTGATAATATTGCTGATTCTGAACCGATGATGAACCTACTGAATGTTGATGTACTTGTTGGACGTGCTGCATCTGTGGCTGAGAATATTGCACTTGTTGAGGTTGTTGCAGCTGTTGATGCATGTGCTGCTGCTGAGATAAAAGTTGTATCTGAGGTTGCATCTGCTGTTGCATTTGATGACTCATTTGTTGCGGCACGTTCATTTGATTCAGTTGTATATACTGTTGCTGTTGATGCAGATGTTGCTGTTGTTGTATCTGTTGAGTCACTTGAGGAAACTGTGGTTGAGTTTGTACAGTTTGAGGAGTAGAACACTGTGAAGATGTAGCAGTTAAATTCTGTGAAACGTGCTGCGTAAATTGTTGTTGCTGCTGCTGTTGTTGTTGATACTGTTGCTGCAGTTGCTGTTGATACTGCTGTTGCTGATACTGAACTTGCTGCTGTGAAACTTGCGGTACTTGTTGCATCTGTTGTGCTTGCTGCGGTTGAACGACAGATGTTTGCTGTTGCATCAACGGTTGTTGTTGAACTAACTGAACTTGTTGCGGTTGTAAATTATGTTGCTGGGGCTGTTGAGCAGCAGATTGCATTTGTTGTTGCTGCTGCTGTTGTTGCTGAAGAGGTATTTGGTTTTGTTGTAATTGCATTTGTACTTGGCCTTGAATTTGAATGCCCATGTTTGGCTGCATTTGTTGTTGCTGCTGTTGTTGCAACTGCATCTGTTGAAGTAGTAATTGTTGCTGTAATAGACTTTCATTGGCTGCATTAGTTGTGTCCGCTTCTCTGTCTAAACGTTCTTTTTCTTCTTTGGCTTTACGTTCTTCCCTCTCCCGCAACAAAGTAGTGATTTGTGATTTTAACATCTTCGCCACAGCCTTAACATCTTCTTCAAGTATGAGGCTCGATTTAGCCATTTCTGAAGCCACCTCTTCCGCGTTATCAGTTTGAATGTCAAAGTCAAATTGTATCGCCTCGTTCTCTTTATGTTTATTGGTACGCTTTTTAGGATCTAACACTCTTAATCTGAACTCGACACGGGATAACTCTGCGTCTGCGACGGCTGAATCTCGCGAGACCATTTCTAACTTTAATCCAACATCGTCCGCGAAAAATTCATGATTTAATAGATCTTTAACTAAAGGTCGCTCTTCTTTCTTTAGACGAATACACATTTCTATAATCTCGCGTACTTCTGGATTTTCCACTTTGTCATAACTTTGCGGTTTTACACCCTGTGTAATGTACAATGTATTATTAAATGAATAAAAGGTTACGTAAATAGAGTTAAGAAAACTTCATATTTTTATGGATCACAAACTACGTTTATACTATTAAATAATGTTATTAATTTACCGATACTACGCGTTTATATATTTGCGCTGGCCCAGTGCATTCCGAGTATGGATATTCGCTAGTAGCCATCTCGAGCATACACATTCCAAATGCATAAACGTCAACGGATTCATCATAATGTTCTTCATACATTTCAGGTGCCATAAATTCAGGTGTTCCGATAACACTTTTTGCGAAGCTTCGATTTTTTAGAGTTGCAAGACCTAGATCGCCGATTTTCACGCTTCCCGTTGTACCAGTAATAAAAATATTGTCACACTTCAAATCACGATGAATAATTGGTGGTGATCTCGAGTGTAAAAAGCTAAGGCCTTTCAAAATTTGTCTGCACCAAGATTTTACCACTTTTGGATTGATCTTTTTAAAGCGTCTTAGGTACCTATATATAATTATAAAACATATGTCAAATGATATTAACAGAAACAATTAATCTTTAAAGATCTTTCAGGAACTGAAATTAAATACTCACGTTTTCAATGTTCCTGAAGTCATAAGTTCAGTGACTAGCACAATATATTTTCTACGCGTTAGTGTAACTTCCCAATAGTCGTAAAATCTAACAATATTTGGATGCTGTAAACCTTTCAACATTTCTGCTTCTTCTCTAAACCGTAGTCTTTCTGTTTTGTTTAATTTTTTCTCCTAAACAAAAAATCAGTATAATTTTGTATAAATACAGCGTATAAAATATTTCAAGAAAAATAATTAAATAGACAAATATTAAATTCAATTTTTCTGACCTGCAACTCACACCAAGCAACAGCGACACCTGTTTGAGTATCTAAACCTCTATACACAGTCTTAAAGCTGCCTCTACCGATTTCTTCTTCAAATTTTAGAAATCTACCGTCAGGTGATATACCGATAGCTTTCTCTTCGTCATCATCGTCTTCAATATTTTGCACTTTCCTCAATAAATTTTCAACTTCTTCCCTAGCCATTGTCTTTTGTGTTAATTTTTCATCGGCTTTAAAATTTTCGTCGAGTAATGGACCAATAAAACCTTCCACTGCCTCTTCTTGTCCAACTACTTCTTTTTGAGGATCTTTCACAATCTTCGTTTCGCTTTCCACATTCGTATCTTTAACATCCTCCATTTCTGTGTCTAACGGTGGTACTTTTCCTAATTTACTCAGAGATTCATGAAGTGCTTGTGCAGCAACAATATCACTGATACTGGTGCCATTGTCATCTTCGTCATATATTGTCATTTCTTCTTCCACCTCCCTTTGCGTGTCCATATCTTTCCCCTCAGGCTCTATTATTTCCTCCGATACTTTCGAAGTCACGAATCTTGAACTTTTCACCGATTCTTCATTTTGTCGCGTATCCTCCTTTTTATCGTCAGTCACATCTTTATCGGAATCTTTAGTTAAATTTTCATTTTCGTTATCTGTAGATTTAAGCTCTTCGTTAGATATTTTCCGTTTTGCTTTCCCGCTACTTTTACTACAAGCTGCTGAAGTGGACGTTTCTGTGGACGTACTTGTATCCATGTTTGTTTCTTTCAAATTCTTATTATCATTCTGTTCAATCATCTTTTCTGTAACATACTTGTTTTTAGATCTTAAATTTTTGTTTTCACTAGTGTTGCATTTTGTACTTATAGAAGACGTAGAGAATACTTTTTGTTTGTTTTGAGTAATTATTTCTTCTTCGATACTGCTATTTACTGATACTTTTTTTATAACGTTTGAAATTTTAGAAAATTCGGAGGTTAACGCTTTTTGTTCATTACAATCTAACGATAACTTCTTATCTGATACATTCTGTGACGATTTACCGCCTTCTTCGCTAATATTGCATTCCACGATTGTTTCATCTTCATCTGATCTTTTTGATTTTAATCGACTAATTGGTGTCGACGGTGTTGAATTAGATCCTATACGTCCAAATAAAATTTATAATAAAATTATGAAACTTGTACGTGGTATAAAAAAAAATAATACATACATATATACAGATATATACCTGGCACATTGGAAACATTTTCTGTCGCTGTAATAGCTTCTTCTGCATCGCTAAAACTACGATCATTTTCATGTTCTACGGTTGGCGAATTAAAATTCCGAGAGGACGATTTTTCAGAAATACGCAATGCAGACAAAACTTTCTTTTTAGAAGAAGGTGAATTATTTGCAACTCCGTTACTAGTTATAGATAATGAATCTGTACTATGATCAGCTTTTTGTATCCTCACTTGTTTCTTACAAATAGTTGTAGAAGATCGACTTATACTTGATGTCTAAGAAATAGATAATTACAATTTACTTATCTAGATCTTCGCAATTTAATTCATATTGATATTTAAATATTATTGATGTTGAGTTTTGGGCATACCTTTCGATCTCCGCAACTATGAGCGCTAGTACCAGGTTGTGAAACAACAGACAATTTCCTTTGGCGTTTGTGATTATGTGTGTGATTATGAATCCTCTGAGTAGTTACAACTGAACAAGGGCCTCCACTTTCTTGAGAGGCTAAGTGGCCCACTGCCAAACTAATCCCACCCTGATTATTACTACCTCCACTGGCCACCAGCTTTGGACACAAACTGGACAGGCTACTACCACCCGAAGAACGTTGCCTATTTGTCTCATACCTAAAACATTGTAGAAGCACTACATAATTTTTATATTATATATACATCATTTTTCATTTTATATATTCTTCCATTAAATGTAACAAAACATTAATCAGATTACCTAGACAACTTCATGTTACATGTAAAATTATATTTTCAAAAACGGAAAACAATAAAACTAAAATAATTACTAATTTTTGTAACATGATTTAATGACTAAAATTATCATGGATATGATCTTATGAACATACAAAACAAAATTATTACACACATGCACATGTATTTTGTATTTAAATATATTTCCTTACATGAGGATAATATGAGAGTAAATCTAAATTATGAAATTTTGAGTCTCATCGGTACTAAATGTACATGCTAGGAAATTATGTTCTATTGTATAATGTTGAATTGCTATGAATGATATTTTGAAGTACTACTGAATCTTACGAGATGAGATATATAAAATATAGCTGAGAAAACAAATCAAATGTATACACATAAAATTTATGATAGTGGTATAGGTTTTGGAACATAAAAGTTAAATAATTATTTTTATTCATGAAATGTTATTTCATGTTTAATACTTAAAGGGTAATATTGATCAGAGATTTTATGCTGCGATGTAATAATAATGTAAATCATGTAATTACTAACCTTTCAATACCTATAAAATTTTATACTTGAAGTTCTGGTCAGTAATTCTGAAAATACATTTGAATTTATACCTTTGCTTTCTGAGTGGAAATTTTCAACTTTATATAATAAATATTTCTTTAGTAGTAAGATTAATAATTCTATAGTACTTCAATGATCAAATTGATTATATCTATCATGTTATAGCTTTCAATTAATACCAACATTTTAAGAAGTATGATTTCAATATGTACATATACCGTACAGATGAGAGAGAGTTATGTGCATGTGTAACTGTATTGGAATTAAGATATTATTACTTCATTATATTTTATAGTTTGACAAATTTTAATAATGGAATTGGTAAATAATGTAATATTAAATTACAATCAGAATACATTCCAAATTAATTATATAAATATATATTGAACACATATATTTAAATAAAAAGCAAATGAATTACAGCAAAAGAATTAAATGATAGAAGGTAAAAAATGACAATGTAAGAAGCATGATTTTGATACAGACATCATTATACCTGTCCTGCCTGCTGTGGCCAGATGAGAGGAGTCCCCGCACTGTGTTGCCTATAGCTGCTCTCTTTTTAACTTCTTTTTCCCGTTCTCTGTACCCACCAGATCCAGTACTTGTTTGATCCTGGCGAGTATTTTTATCTCCCTATAATTAACATGTAAATATTATATAATAACTAAATATACATATTGTAAAACACATGTATCAATAAAGTTAAAGACGTATTACATAAATAATAATTTAAAATTCATTGTAAGTTTACCTTAATACTTAAAAGTTTTATATTTAAATTAGTACTCGTGTTTGTTGGAACTGGACTCAAATCACACCTAACTCTTCTGTGTGATTTCTCAACAATCGGTGGATCTTCGTCTAACTCCAACGGATTTCCAATTGAAAAAGAATGACTCTGTGTTAATAAAATATTTTCTGTATTTTGTTTCTGACTGTTGCCAACCGAACTCACTGCTTTATTTTCATTGCAACATCTCGGCATTGCACATAAGCAACTTATAAAAGAGTTCACTTTATAAAATTTGTTCGCGTATTTTATATATTCCGTGTTTCAGTTTGATTTGTTCAAAATTTTAATATGATCATTCACTGCCATATTATTCATGAAGAAACCAATACATAGTATTCTTGATTAAGTTTGTTCTTCAAACTATGAAATACTGAACGTATTTATAGCATACAGAGTATAAGATTCTTATGTTCATCACAGATTTTTGCTTTGTTTCATATGTATACTCTGTTATTTCAAATTCTCAGTAATTGTTGGATACCAAACAAGTTAAATGATTCTGAAATTAGAAAACACAACCATATAAAATCTAATAGAAAATATCAATAATAAAAAGATTGAATATATTTGACAATTTTGCAATACTGACAATATACATATTGACCATTTGAAATCTTTATTATAGTATTACCCTTTGCACTCAGAATGCCAGATACATTGACAATATACATTTCTTGTGAAAATTTAGAATGTCAGTTGTCTTAACATGAACAATTTGATGTCCTCTCATTCCATGCAGTTATTAGGTCATCCAAAAAATTTGTGCTTCCTTATATATCATGATTTCATTAACCTTTTACTGGATAATAAATGTTCAACTTAAATAAATAGTCAGTTTTTTGTTTATAATGTTTACAATATAATAAATTTAGTGTTTGTTATTCATAAAAAACAAGTAGGTAATCTTGAACTTTCTCTCAGAAATTTTGTATATAATTACTGAGTTTGTAGAACATACTAAAATATTGCCAGAGTGCAAAGGGTTTAAAATTATGAAGTAATATATCTTTTTAGCAATCTTTGTTATAAAAATTAAAATACTTAAATGTTGTAAATTATATTTGTGTTTAGATAAGTGTGATTATAAGGTAAGGTTGTAATTATTAAAAGGAAAATTAACATTTTGAAAATGTAATTATAAATTATAATTAAAAATTAAAGCATATGTTAATCCCATTGTTAGTAAAAAAATTAATTGAGAATAAAACGATTTGTAAATAAATCATAATTGAATTTAATTCACATGAATTTTATGTATTAAATATTAATAATGATTGATAATTAAAATAAAAAAAAATGATTTTTTTATTGTACTTCAAATAATATCAAACTTTTCTTTTATGTCTGTGTTAAAAATATATGCAATATTCATACATATTTTTCATGAATTTATTGATTACTATATACCATATGTTAAATGTGCAAATAATTTGCAATTTTCGTAGCAAGTGCATAAAAAAGATTAATTTCTTACTTTTGAAGAATAAAAACAAAATAGAAGCATTGAGACTGAAATAAAATTGACCAGCCAATTTTGAATGAATTTTTCCAAAGAGAAAATCGTACGTGAATAATTCTTACAGCACTATTTATTCCTGTTTTGCAAACGTTTATTATATTGCACGGATTGTATAAATTTAGTAACATCAATAGCATAATGTTGATCATGACTGCCAATAAATGTTGAGGGCAACCGATCACAGAATTAGTGCTTCAGATATATTCAACGTTACAAATATTTCGTTTTGTCAATAAAGTGAAACCGATATTTTTTTCGATTAATCTAACAAAACAAATCCCGCGATCGCTGATGATCGAACAAAGCAAACGAATACAAAGGGAAAAAATTTACTTCGTTAATATCGCAGTATGTTGTCAAGCATCGTGGAACAGTCACTTGAAAAATGTTGACAGTATATAGCAAGTAGCAGGTCTTACGTATATACTGTGATATACGTATCTCACGGACACACCGTTGCACTGCATGCTGTACACAGGAACGACTGCGTATTACGGGGTGAAGAGGAAGTACCACACACGTATACCGCAAATCAAATAAATGCACACATTCGTACGGCGCGCATATAGTCAGACACCAAGATAATGTGACATCTATCCCAAAAATACCGCGTCAATGTATATTTTACAGCTTGTCCAACGGTCAAAGGTTACCAAAATTACGAATAAATTCGAATATATTCGTTCTCCATGAACGTCACGGGCTTATCCGAGATTTTTGACTGATAAAATAGATCGGGAAGAAACGCGAGGTAGTTGTCATGCGGAGATGCGTGAACAACAATACCTACTCAGTGTCGCGATTTCGTGTGAAAATTTAAGGTATCTGTTCAGTTATCAATAGTTTCATTACCTCCGATATAGACCCGGTCATATTAGCTTCGCGATGCACTGACAAACAGCACTCGTAATTCCGTAGTCAGCCGGTACTCACATTTGTGTTGCAGAAAATCGCCCGACTACACCCAAATAACCACCATTTTTTTTCACTGAATAACGCGCACTCTCGTGGTGCTATGCGTTAACAATGATCAAGTTATAAAGTAATGCCGCATACACATAGGCGCCGATATTCGTTCTGAGAAATGCATCCAAAAGTTTCTCTGGTATCATTACTGGATGGCGCTTACTTCGTACCCGATTACTTCGTCGGTACACTTTCGATTCTACATTCTATGTAAAACATATTGTACTTACCTGATAGTCTGTAATAGGCTGTGGGGATGGCTAAGTGTGTATTGTAGCATTATGTAGATATGATCGCAAAAACAATTTAGAGATAATAGTGTCTTTTGTGTTTGCATAACGATATCGCAGAAAAATGACTCACATAGTGTTACCCAATTTTTAGGAATTAATGAAACTGAAAAAGCGGAAGAGTCTGTGCGCGCAGTGCGTGAATATGCCCGCCAAGGTCTCAAAGAAGGTCGTGGGCATGATCGTACGAAGCCGAAAATTCATTATTAAGGATGGTGTCATTACGGTACTAAAACATTCAGTTTAATATCTATTAGAATTTTAAGTTACGTATAGATCATTTTTATGTACGTTCTCTCTAATTTCACGTTCAACGTAAGTACGACTTTTCGTTCGAAGCATGATAAGTCCAATGACGTTATTTTGTGTTTATCTCGTACTTAGTAATGCATAATAATCAGTAAGAATGCAAAGTGTTCCTTACTCCATTTACTACTACTCCTTCGACTTATTTTTAAATCAATTAAAGCTACAAAACTTGTGTGAGTTTTAGCGTGATTACATTGTAATAATAGCATTGACACATGGCTGAACCTTTGTTCATTTTCATATATGTGTATTAGTATCATTTATTTTTATGTAGAAGATTGTGAAATATAAATAAAATGTTTTATATAGATAATATTTTAAATCTCCTGGAAGTATGACCAATTAATTTGAGATGCTTATATTTTGATTCTATAGCTTTTGTGATGCCTGAGATATAAGTCAAACTACTCGTAACAGACTGTATTCGAATAATTTCAATTTTTATATGTTCCTAATATTTTAGATCTGCAACCAGCTTCTTCTATTTCATTTTGTTTCTAAAAACAATTGAAAATACTTTTTTGATGTATAAAATATAGAATAGTTAATGTTCAACAGAATTCAAAGAATATTTACTTTAAATTATACGAAGCTTTTTGTTATTTACTTTATAATTGATTCAACGCATGTTAAAAGTATGTTTTGGTATTAACCAATTTCAGTGAGAAGAAATAAATAGCTAAAAATATAATGATATTTATTAAAATAATAACAAGTTCCATAATGTTATAAGCATTAAATTGTTTCTTTGTCATTATGACTGGCTTATTTAGAAAAATATAAATAAGTGATGGACATTGTTTGAATACAACTTATTCTATTATTTACCTGTTATTTATGATTTCTTAATTATGTTATTGCATAATTGTATTTCATTTTTGTGTATCAACGAACAATATTCGATGTCAGCCATTAGAATGTTCTAATCAACTCTCAAATGTATAATCCAGATGGTTGTCTTTTACATAGTTTCTAATTGTATTTATGATTTGGAATTTGCGTGTTTTAGTAATAAAAGATTGAAATTGAAATATTCGAACATTGAAAAATATAATATTTAAATATATAAATAAATAATTTATGGGAAAAAAATTTGCTTGCTTTGTATAAAAATTTCGAATGACCATTGAAAAGTAGTAAGTAATTTTTATTTATTCGTTATTCACGAATAAAGTTAAGTTGCTTTTTATTCATAATCAGTGAATTTATTTTTATCTGACACTAAAATAAATTGTATATTTGTAAGAATGCATAGACATATTATTATTTCATTTAGAAGAATGTTTCGAGGTTTTAATAGCATAGAGTAGAGTATTAACGTATTAGCGCTTTCTTATTACAGTAATATTACATATGTATAGATTCATCGAATAATGCTGTACTTGCGCATATTGATCAGATGCTAACAACATCTAGTTGATAAGAGACAAGCTATCTGATTATTAAATGGATAATGAAGAAAATATGTTGATATCTTTTAATCAGTCAGTATCTTTCATTTCGGACGAGTTATCATAATGGACGAAACGATAAATTTTTCGTTACTAGATATTTTAGGTTACATTCTATCTAAAGTTATGATGAAACAACTATAGTTTACATGGAAAAAGTGGGGGGGTTTGGTGGTAGAGTTGCAATGCAGTGATTCGAGTTTTCATTTCAAATTTGTTACAATTACATCGAACAAGACTAAAGTTTGAATAACAAAACTTGTATAAGTGACGAATAAATATGTGGTTTTAAATATTTTAACGAAGAGGCGTTGACAATAAGTTATGACAGCGAGAAATACAAGAAATAAGACAAATCTCTCCACCCGATATAGATTTTGTCACCGATCGCATCACTTTTTAATACATTTTAATGCAACACTTTGACGTACGAATTTTACACAGAATTTAAATGTCAAAGATTATTTTGGGCGATTGTATTTTTCGGGTGTTATGAGATACGCATGACATTACGCTAAATAATATTTTTTATAAAGTTGTGCTACTCGAATTTACTCGTGAAATTGCTAACTGACAAGTAGAACATGACAGTTTTTGTTGAAAAAGGAAAATTATTGACAGAAGAATGTTCAAATGGCACTACATAAAAAATGAAATTTGAAGTATTTTAAACTTTCATTTATTAATAATGTAGTGCTTCGTAAGCAAGATGTCTTCGAAAGTTAAGTTGTTAGAAAGAATGTTCTAAATGTCTATATATATGACAAAAGAGTATATTTTTAAAATGACTATATCTATGTATTTTGTTTGATAGTAATGATTTTAACATAACATTTGAAGTACTTATGAACTCTTTTGTATTTATATTGCTGAGAAATGTAAAAAGGAAGATATAGAAGAAAGCCATACTTTGTTTCAATGGAAAGAGACATAATCAGAAGTAATGATGATAAAGAGAATTTGTAAAGTTATTTAAATAAAATGTTGCACTATGAAATTAAACAATGATATGATACAATATTTAGTAAATAAGTTGATCTTTCAATACTGCTGAATATTAACGCAGAACATATTTTGTGTTAACAAGTTGTATTTCATGCGCTTAATCTAGTTTTTGATATTTTAACGAGGCACAAATTATATAAAATTAATGTTACAGCAATAAAAAAGAAGCTTGTTGCAATTACTAATTCAGTTATATATATGTAGTTGAAATATTACAATCTATTACAAAATAGAAATAAATACAAGTTATATTTTATTAGACAAGTTGATATGTGTGATACAATGAAAAATAGATACAGGCATTAAGTCTAAATGTATCAAACTGAAAGTGAAATGGAAGTAGAGCTTCTTAAATTGAAGTTACTACATAAATATAATTAATAAAGTACAGTAACGTAACAAATAACTATTAATGAAGATTAGATTGAACATTTGAAAATGTGCAGTTGACATAATGCTAAGTCAAGGTTATTCGTTACAGTATTATATGGATCTGAACAACTGATAAATGAAAAATTGATAGAATTGTAAATATGGAAAGAAATATATATAGTAGCACTTCTTAGGGGTCATGCCCCCTGGGGCAACAGGCGGAGCAGAGGGCCTGAGCCCTTCCTGTTCTGAAATTCACAACAGCCAAGAACATGCTATTGCTAAACTCACACCTCCTCTTACATTTGCTCAGCAATGCTACAGGCATCTTAAGGTCAGCTGTCACAATTTGCAAAGTGCTTATAGTTTTGATAAATCCAGAGAAAATTATAGTACTATTATATTCGTGTAACATTATCTTCCTATTGTATCATATTTGTTGGGTTTAATGGATAGATATCACGGCTGCTTATGAATTGTATCAGCAATTCAAACAGGATAAATTTATATGATTTATTATTTTTGTTTTACAGAGTTCCGGTATTGGGGAGGCAAGTGTGTACCATGCTCTGGTTGTAATATTTTTGGAATTTTTTGCATGGGGTTTATTAACCATGCCTGTTATCTCTCTTTTAAATATTACATTTCCAAATCATACGTTCCTGATGAATGGTTTGATAATGGGTATTAAAGGAATCTTGTCATTTCTTTCTGCACCATTGATTGGTGCTTTGTCTGACGTGTGGGGTCGAAAATTCTTTCTCCTTATCACTGTAGCCTTCACATGTGCGCCAATTCCTTTAATGAGCATTAACACATGGTGGTTCTTTGCGATGATCTCCATCAGTGGTGTCTTTGCTTGCACATTTTCAGTGGTGTTTGCATATGTTGCTGATGTTACTGAAGAACATCAAAGATCTGCAGCATATGGCATGGTAAGTATTCTATCTTTAAGTTAATTAAAAACACATGTTTCTGTCAATGTTTTTAACTTTTGTATTATCTTCTCAGGTTTCAGCAACTTTTGCTGCAAGTATGGTAATAAGTCCAGCATTAGGAAATTACATCATGAAATTGTATGGAGAAAATCTTGTAGTTGCATTAGCATCTGCTATTGCAGTGTTGGATGTGTTTTTTATATTAGTGGCTGTACCTGAAAGTTTGCCTGAAAAAGCTCGTCCACCAGCACCTATATCTTGGGAGCAGGCAGATCCCTTTGCTTATCTTGGGAAGGTAAGTAATTCATTATGTTGCATATAAAGGAAATGTACTTGAAATCCATCCAAATTAGCTGGTTTGGGTTTAAAAATAGATATACCTTGATTATTGGAATTCTCGTGTTCTATTTTAAACGAGATATTTGGATTGAAATTATACCAGGAAATATACTTTTATACGAAATATGAAATTTTAAATATATAAAGATTAATTATAGATTATTTAATATTTTAGGTTGGCAAAGATCATACTATCTTAATGTTGGGTATTACTGTGTTCCTGAGCTATCTTCCTGAAGCAGGACAGTATAGTTGTATATTTGTCTATTTGACTAAAGTTATGGGATTTACTGCTTTGATGGTAGCAATTTTTATTGCCATAGTTGGAATTTTAAGTGTCGGAGCTCAAAGTTTCTTAGGTCCTTTGATAAGGTTGCATGGCAGTAAACATACTATAATGTTAGGTCTCTTATTTGAAATGTTACAACTTATGTGGTTTGGCTTCGGTTCACACACATGGTAACTTTTACAGTTTCCTTCTCACCTAAGGAAATGATAACTTTTTATTTTATTAAATTTTTTTATAATTTCAAGGATGGTGTGGGTGGCTGGAGTTCTTGCTTCTGTGTCAAGTATTACATATCCTGCAATCTCTGCATTCATATCCATGCATTCTGATGCCGACAAGCAAGGTTTGGTGCAAGGCATGGTAACTGGAATGCGTGGATTATGTAATGGTCTTGGACCAGCAATGTTTGGAGTAATCTTTTATCTTTTTCGTGTTGATCTCAACGATAATTCTCCCCTTCCTACAAAGCCATCATCTTTAGATGAAAATAATAAAACAGGAACTGCCACGCAACATCTCGACATAATGCCACAAATAGTTACCCAGGTTAGTGAAATTATAATTCATACGCTTTTGAAAAAAAGAAGCTTTTATACGAACGAACGATTACTGGTAATACTTAAAGGAGAGTAAGAAGAAATATCTTTGTAGCTTGTACCAGGACCACCATTTGTGTTTGGTGCGTTACTTGTGATATGTGCATTACTAGTAGCTGCATTTATACCAGAATCAAACACAATGCCAACAGGTCCATTACATCATCCATCCACCTCCCGGAGGCCCTCCGGTAAATACGCATATCAGAAATGTACGTTAAAGGTTGCTAGTTATATTAAAATTCAGATGTATTTTCGGTGGTGGGTTTTATTTTAATCTATTACCTGAACCAGTATTACTGCATGTAAATTTCATAATAAATAATGATTTTGTTATTTATATATAACACATCTATTTAATAATTGATATTATTAAAATACATCTATGTTTTATATAACATATATAAAGTTTATTTCAAATTTAATTATTATATGTTACACATATGTTAAGCATACACGCACGCACACACCCGTATACATACACACAATATTAAATGAAACTACAATTTAAGGTTTATCCTTGGATGTACATTATGAAGGAGACAAATTGGGAAGTGGAAAAGGAAAAATAGGACCGTTGTCACCTCTAGTCGATAATTGCAACTCTGCTGCTCTATAGCTATTATGAAAATTAAGACAAGCCACAGTAAATAAGAGGGTTATGTATCCTTGCCGAATGATGGGACTATAGTTAAAGAAACGGTTACTATCAAGTGCACATTTACAAGGACTTCAAGAGAACTGTCTATACTGTAGTATATTATGTCTTTAAGTCAATATTTGAAGTTGATCTAGGATTATCAGTTTAATTAATAATTAGATTACGAGACGTTTTTATAAACAGTGCTTGTTTTATGATCCTTAGGTTGAACTGCATATTCAATTTAATTTCTTTAGGTGTTTTGTTACATAAAAAATTAAATTTTTTAGAAAGGAAAGAAAAAAATCATGATATTATATTGTATTAAATCAAGCACTGGATATTTGAAATCGATTATCAGTGACTCCTGGTTTGTGTAGCTTGCCAGTAATATAAAAGAGTGAAACGAATGAAAGTTATAACCAGTATTTTTACTAGACTTATAAAAACTAATGAATATTTTATGTTGAATTCTATATTTTTATCATGTACGTCACCAATTGCTTATTAGAATCGCGCAAAATCAACAATTTTTAATTTAGGCAAAAGCACTTGTTATTTTGACCACTCGTATTTTAGACCTTTAATTAGGATATTTTCTATGATACTTTTGTGAATTGCCTCATATAAACAAAATTTTATTTATTTGTCAATATATTTTGTTTCATTTTTCATGCATTCCTTTGTTTTACGTATTCCTTTAAATTAAAAGAAAAAAGAAGAGTGTAATAGTTACAGAAGAATGAACAGACGTTGTAAATGAATTTTACCTAGCTAAAATAGAAAATAAGTTTCCATTGATATATAATACTTAGTAACAATTAGCTGATGTTTGTAAAGTACGTTAACTATTTTTTTTTTGCATAAAATATTTATTTTAATAATTAGATGTCAACAGAATGAATGCAATGGCCTTAATCAGAAAGACAATTTATATGAAATTATACTTTGCCATTCGAAGGCAGTGGTAGATTCTGATCGAGAATGTTATAAATATTATTAATTGATTGCTTGTAGCGTCCCTCACAAATGTTAAAATGTGCATGTTATAAATTGGAGTCATTGATGTTAAGAAAATACAACAATAGCGTAGCGTGTTCGTGCATTTCACTTGTATTTTGAAAGAATTAGTGTCTGCAGAGCTGTATGTGCATTACCATAGCCTAATAACTATTTGAATTTGAAATCTGCTAAATTATTTGAAATTAGTTTTATTAGAATCATTGCACACTGCTAAAATTATTTTACACAGTTTTATTACTTATCATTTTCTGAACGTACATGAAATTACTGTCGTCGTTTGTTACGAAATAATTAAGAAACAAAAGAGGATGCTCAAATCCAATTAAAAAGCAAAGAATGAAGTAGCAGAAATTCCATGCAAAAGTTGTAATATTAGGAAATAATAGCAACCCATGATACATGGTGTAATGCGTGAGCAAGAAATAAAATTTTGTATGATCTCACTTTTCTCCAAGAATCTTTATATTTTTAAAATCAGAAGAAATGTACATAAATCACTACACATTATTTCATTTATAAATATTAAAGAAAAAATATTTAACCTACTATTACTATTCCATTGTTTGGAATTATTCTGATGATAAGAAATGCTATGCATATCGAAATTTAATGTTATTTTCATATTATGGTTAAGATAAATTGTGGAATTAAATTCCACAGTAATTGCACAACGTAGAAATATATTACGAGATTATTTTATTACTATAATAATATAATATGGGTCGATGAAGATCTATCATTTGTGACAGATTTCTTGGAGAATATTGATATAAACTGCAGCAATTTTATGTTTTTTGCTTGATTTAAGAATTGTTTATTAAAACTTGCTCTTATACATTGAAATACATCAACACTGTTGTAATATATCATTGCAAAAGGAAAACTAAGAAATCACAATATTAAAGATAAAGTCCAGTTTAAGACTTAATATAAAGTAAGTAATTGTATATGTACAATGTATGAAAGATACATTAATAAAAATAATTATTTTTAAAATACAAGTTGTTTTAAAAACATGAATTTTTACATTTTTTGAAAAAAAATTATGTATAATTTTATATATCTGTACAAAAAAAATGTGAATTCGTACAATGTACAACGTTATTTGTTTCATATTTCAAATTACGTTTAATAATTTAATTACACTTTATTAAACAATGGATACAATTCCAATTATAGTTAGAAGATATATTCTTTAAAGTCACTTCTCTGCTACATATGATTTTTTTAAGCAATTTGTGAAATAGTCGTTAGCGTCGAACCACTCTGTTGCCAAGATTCAATTGCTTTGTTAACAATTACTTCTGAAGTTTCTTCTGTTATCTAGAATAAAAATATTTGTACAAAATCAGCTGTTTAATTTACTTCAAATAAAAACAAACATTAATAGATACTTCCATACATTAGAAATAGTATCCAAGATTCCATCTATGTTTTCACATCTTAATAAAAGTCGTCTTAAAGTTGTAAAAGTCACTACAGTAACAAAAATTAAAATTCTGTATGCACCCACAGCTATTTTATCCCAAATTCTGTAACAAGTAAATGCATATACATTAGAAAATTATTAAATTTTTTTTTATTCTGATTAACATACATACTTTGCTATAGAACCATCAGATATTGTTCCTGCAAAACATGAACAAAACCAAACATCATATGGGACATTATGAAGTGCTTCAGTTTTTACAAGATGTTTGTACAGTTCTGGGTCTTCTCTTTCCAGCAATGTACAAGTACATTCCTGCAGCCTGTTCACTTCTTTATGAAATTTTTGTACTTGATCCAAAAGTCCACACAATATCCAATATGTGTCTACAAGCTTTTCTTCATGAGAATCAATGTCAACAATGTGCCATAAAGTTTCAGCCATTCTGCACATAGCTCTAAAGCGAATATCATTATTGAAAACAACATTAATGCCAATAAGTTATATCAGTAATTAAACTAAATAGAATTTTGAAATAATGCGAGACCTATGTAAAGGAATTTCTAATTGAGCATTTATATCAAGCTTTGCTCTCCTAGTACGCAATAACCACATAGTTAGAAACATTAAATGAGGTTTTGTGTAATCATCCAAAATCTTGGTAACCTTTAACGCTTTCTGCAAGTCCTGAAATTCAGCCTTTCTTTGAGTCATTATGAACTTATGACTATCTACGTAAACTGGTATCACGTCCAGTAATATTTTCCAAAGGAAATTTCTGTATATGACAGGAACTGTAAATCGTAAACAAAATTGTTTCAGTTTCGCCTTGTCAAAAGGTCGATCCTTCAGTAGTATTTCTAAAGACTTCTTCTCCTCGACGCTACGAAATCCTACCTATTTAGATAATATAATTAATAATTAAAACAATTTTAAGCTATACAATTCGGTTTATTGTAACATAAACAGTACATTTGACGTAAAGTTGGTTATGTCATTCACTTTAAAAGATGTTTATTATTAAAAGTATTTACCTTCTCGTAGTAGGATGAGCGAAAATTACGTTCATCGGTCATTTTTCAATTAATAAGTGTTTTATTTACTTGTAATACTTTGAGACTGTTTTACACTACTCGGATTTAAACAGGCTAGGGATGTGTAGGGGTTATAAGAATCTAGGGATACAAGGATGTAGAATTTATATCTTTATATGTATATGTAACACAGGCACATCTTCCGCTTTTATAGCATCGATTATTTCAAAATTATTTATTATAAATAAAATAAAGGACAATACACTTAATATTTAAATGAATATATTAAACATATTTTATTTCATTTGAGAAGCATATACACAGTAACAAAATAATAATATAAAAATTATTGTTCTGCAACAACATGTTCTGGAATAACTTTTGCTACTTTTCTGAATTCTTTGCGCAATGTTTTAGGACATTGCATTTGAGTCCAACTTATGGGTATCATAGCTACACCTGTAACATATTAATTATTAGCAAGAGAAAATAATTTTTAGTTAATTTATTTACCTTCTTCACTGTGTGCTATAACTACGCCTAATTCATTTTCTGCTGTACTTAATTGATAAGTATGAGCTTCTGTCATTGGCATCTAAGAAGTGTATTGGAAACTATAATTTTATACAAGAATTTTTTATATTACAATAAATATATAAATATATAAAGGATACAACCCTTGCTAGGATAATATCTCCAGGTCTAAAAGATTTGTACATTTGAATATTGCTTTTGTCTAATGCCCTTACATCTTCTTTCCTTAAAATCCCTCTATAAGGTCTAGTCAATACAATGTCACCTATACATTTTATACTACATTTGCAAAATCTTTGATTAACAACAGTGACCATAGCAGTCACAATGTCACCCGGAGCAGGAACAATACTTTGTTCTGTTATTCCATGGACTTCTATGGTACGGGTCTAAAATATATTATTTACAAAAATATTTTATTACATTTTGCTAATGATTATATTGTTTCAACAATATCCATACATTTTCCTCTTGCACCAATTTAACTACGCCTGCAAGTTTAGAATAAATATAACCTTGCTGTTCATAAGTTCCAGTTCCAGCTATGTTAACTTTATCAGAGACACATAATCTTTGACCTATTGAAAGAAACAAAATAATTCTGTTTACTTCAATTTTATGTGGTTTAAATGTAAATTTATTTACCTGGTACACATACTATGACGTCCTTCTCCATCTTTTCTAATTCAAATACTTTAATTATATGAGTATTACAACTTGTAACACGTATCAATCATCAATTACTTATTTACCAAAGTTATTAGTGTACTTTCTGTCACTATTTTAAATATTTTTAAATGTAATATAAATAATCACAAACTTTGGCATGGGTATTGCTTTATACCCTTCATGTATGCAATTAATTTATGAATAATCAACGTCACTTGAAAATTAACAAAATTAAAATATTTTATTGGTAAGTATGAAAATGTGCAGAGGTTAACATTTAAAATTGGTATTTAATAAGAATTGTACATAATTTTGAAATGTGTATATGACATTTTCAACGTTAACGAGAAGGTGCTACTAGTGTCATCCAGCGATAAATATAAAAATTACATGAATCAAAACTGTATCGATTGCAGGTAATACAAATGTTTAAAGTTATTATGTTTTATTTATTAAAAATATAAAAGACATTAGACAATAACTAGCCCATAAGTCGCTATAATTTAAAAAATTACGCTACTGCATTACAAAAATGAAACAAATGGCGCCATCTCTCTGGCGCACGGTTCCCGCAATGGCGCCAGTGACGCCATCATGCGGTAGTAGGCGGGACTAACGAAGGCGGCGTCTCAGATGGGCGTAGTTCACCCTGTCCATCATGGCACCCTTGCTTTACACTTCATAAGGAGACGATAAATTTTTTTCCAAGTAAACCCTATTTTCAAGATTGTAAATAATTCCAAAGCTAACTAGTATTGCTTTCCAATGGTTTCTAATGCAAAATTACAGTTAATTAATTAAAAAAAGGATTTTTTAGTACTGTGTCAAAATGTTCGACGATCTTGGCACAAAAAAAAACAATTTATCTAAAAAATAAACTTCAATAAACATTATAATTCCTCAGCTTTGATCTCTTCAGCAACATCTTTTCACATGACACCTTTTCATAAAGACAAAGGTAATTCCATGAAGAGATAGGTGATTTCATGAAGATGTACAGATAGATTTTAATAATGAACATATCTGTAATGTTTTTGATAACGCAAAGTACAAGTGAGGGTATCTATTGACGAGACCTAATCGAAATCACGGGTGCCATTAAATCGCCGGTGGCCGCACCCTTTAATCGTCGCCTGACAACGTAACCAGGCCCCGATTTGTCATCCTCGAAATTGAGTCGCATCTGCCCCTGGTCTTGGACACGTCCGGCCCCGTTCAGCTTGCCAGCACAAAGCCGGAACCAGAGTGTGCATACGAGCGACCACGTTCACCGACCAGCAATATGTAATGTTGCTATACCCAGCGTGTTCCTGGAGGACAATGTAATGGCAGCGAGCGAATATATACGGCCACGGACCATTAATATATGGCCACGGGGGCCATTGTTGCGAATTAGGTACCATTGAACGAGCTATTGTCGATAACAACAGGGGTGCCGGCCTCCACGACAATTGCTGTTTCGTGGAGTTTTCCTTGGTCGTTCTTGAAACTCGCTGTTCAGAATCTTTTGGATGCTGAAAAAGAGATATGCAATTTTTATTTGGGATTGGTGATTGTACTTTAATAACATTAGTATTAATATTTGATGAGATTAGAGTAGGAAACTGTGTTAAAAAATTAGAGAGATTATTTTTTGGTGTGAGGGATGCAGTGATGCTTCATGAAGAAAATTATTTTTCTGGCAATGTAGAAGGTTAGTATAGTGTCCGAACTGCTCTGAAGACTATTTAAGTCAGTACTAATAAATATATAGTAAATATATGGCATATTAATTAATAAAATCGATAAAAATTAGGTTTTTATAAAAATCGAACTAGTGGCGCCATCTCTCCGGCGAACAGGGTGAACTACACCCATCTGAGGCACCTCCTTCGTTAGTACCATTTTCCATCACTAGTTGGCGCCACTGGTACGGTTTGTAGCGCCGTCTGGTGGTGGAAAAGAGAACTAACGAAGGGGGTGTCTCAGATGGGTGTAGTTCACCCTGTTCGCCGGAGAGATGGCGCCACTAGTTCGATTTTTATAAAAACCTAATTTTTATCGATTTTATTAATTAATATGCCATATATTTACTATATATTTATTAGTACTGACTTAAATAGTCTTCAGAGCAGTTCGGACACTATACTAACCTTCTACATTGCCAGAAAAATAATTTTCTTCATGAAGCATCACTGCATCCCTCACACCAAAAAATAATCTCTCTAATTTTTTAACACAGTTTCCTACTCTAATCTCATCAAATATTAATACTAATGTTATTAAAGTACAATCACCAATCCCAAATAAAAATTGCATATCTCTTTTTCAGCATCCAAAAGATTCTGAACAGCGAGTTTCAAGAACGACCAAGGAAAACTCCACGAAACAGCAATTGTCGTGGAGGCCGGCACCCCTGTTGTTATCGACAATAGCTCGTTCAATGGTACCTAATTCGCAACAATGGCCCCCGTGGCCATATATTAATGGTCCGTGGCCGTATATATTCGCTCGCTGCCATTACATTGTCCTCCAGGAACACGCTGGGTATAGCAACATTACATATTGCTGGTCGGTGAACGTGGTCGCTCGTATGCACACTCTGGTTCCGGCTTTGTGCTGGCAAGCTGAACGGGGCCGGACGTGTCCAAGACCAGGGGCAGATGCGACTCAATTTCGAGGATGACAAATCGGGGCCTGGTTACGTTGTCAGGCGACGATTAAAGGGTGCGGCCACCGGCGATTTAATGGCACCCGTGATTTCGATTAGGTCTCGTCAATAGATACCCTCACTTGTACTTTGCGTTATCAAAAACATTACAGATATGTTCATTATTAAAATCTATCTGTACATCTTCATGAAATCACCTATCTCTTCATGGAATTACCTTTGTCTTTATGAAAAGGTGTCATGTGAAAAGATGTTGCTGAAGAGATCAAAGCTGAGGAATTATAATGTTTATTGAAGTTTATTTTTTAGATAAATTGTTTTTTTTTGTGCCAAGATCGTCGAACATTTTGACACAGTACTAAGAGGAGGATGTTGATGTATCTGTTCAAATTCTTACTCGAATTGAGAGTGGTTGTTAAATGATTGAATCGTGCAAACAATAAAATGTGCTCTCCAGTTAACTTCAACTTAAGCTAGCTAAAATGGTACTCTTAGAACATTAAGTAACATTGAAGACAATTTTTATAATTCTAACATAACGATCCTTCACCCCAGAGGTTAAAATTTCCAGAAAAAAGACGTGTTGTATAATGCCAGAGGATTAAAAGGAAGAAATCGACTACATTATAATCGTTATTACACGATGATCTCCGTAGAAAAATATTAACGACGTCGCAAATAGAATGATAATGACAAGATCATAGATGCTGGGGTGCCGTAAATCACGGTCGATCACGAGCATTTTCGTAACGAGAATATAATGTAATAGTTCGAAGTCGCGTAACTAAAAGGATCGTTTATAGTGTCCGGCTCATAAACGGTTTAATAGACGCTAAACAGAACGGCTATAATGTCGGCCGTTAAAGAGTTCTGTCATCGAAATCACGTGAAATTATATAATATTTTCTAATAAAGTGGCTGCTGAAATTCCTAAGTATTTCATTGATAATGAAATTGTATAAAACTCGGCCTGGTACCCGGCCGCCATTAAAATTCCTCCGGCTCGGATGCCTCATCTTCGAGCAGGGTAATGACAAGGTTCAGCGACGGGATGTCTAAGGATGCTATTAAAATTCCCTGCTCGTTGTTTCGGAGACTTCTGGGGATCTAGAGTTTCCTCATCGATTCGTGTATCAAGTGCAGCGGAGTTAGATCGCCGTGTGATACGTGTTACAGCGCCATTTTGTTCGACAGATCGGTTTTAGGTGACACTTAAAACCGATGCACTATTTTGACAAGTCGGACTCGTGACGCACTCGTACTTCGGCCGTGATCAATTTTACTCGAATTTTTAGTACGCTTTAATTTGAAGTTCAAGCCCAATTATAATTTGCATAGTCAACGATTGTATAATAACATATTGATATAACATTTCAAATTTTTGTCTGTTTTAATATTGTAGCTGTAATTAGTTCTGACTGACGCACCTGACAAATAAACCACAGTGCAAGGGGTTAAATTTGTAAAGTCTGAATTTCAATCCGAGTCTGAATTTTTGATGGAGAATTGCCTTTGTCAGAAAGAAAGTTTGGAAGGTCAGAAGCCTTAAGTAAGAAGACATTACAGGAAGCCAGCAGGCAAAAGTGGGATGAAGATCCGGTCCTCGAGGATCAGTGTCACCAGCAAAGAAAACACATTTCTCCCGCAGAGATAGGATCGAGCAGGTCAGTTCCACGGAAGGACAAGCATCGAAGACGGTCACGTAACAGGACTCATAGAAACTCGTCTAATTTTCTGTGGTTATCCCGTCGGAGATCTCACCCTTCAGGGATCCCGGTCCACGGAGGTACGAAAAGCTAACGGTGCCCGCGAAAAAGCGAAGATTTACAGTGATCGCGAGGATCGGTTAGATCCTCGGTATCCAGATATCCTTCAAGGATGCTGCGTGTTCCCGTGAATAACGAGGATCGCGATGGAAAAAGTGTTCGAAAAACGGACGGTAGGAGAGAGTCCCGATGCTATTTCCCCGTCTAGTTCACCCTTGTTTGCCCGTTGGTGGACACCTGCGGACCCACGGGAACCGTTATGGTCATCGGACAGAGATTCCGCCTAATAAAGACATAATTCTAGCAGATAGAATCTACAGCGAGTTCGCGCGCGCGACCAGGCATCTTTACGACCGACTACCTTCGCCGTCTAATTCGAAAACAGATCGAATGTCCGACCGGGGGCCTGGTTTCACGATCTTTTTCCCGGGAAAAGGAACGCTTTCCGGCTCGATTTATGGCCTCGTTAAATCGGCCAGGCCTTAACGCGATCTGCCGTTCATCGAAATTGATTATTAAACCGCGACCGCGTAGGTGAGAACCCCGCGCTAACCTCGCCTCGTGCTTTGCGACTGGGTTCCACTGCGACGTACGAAATTTTTAGCTGTTGGACTAAAATCGACATGTATCACATTAGCACCTGCAAATTTTTTGATAGAGACTTTTTGTAAATTTTAATGACATACTTTTAGAGCATCCTTTCCTATAACTTTGAGTATACATATACTTTATGCACAAAATGTCGAAGGTGCACAATAAAATTTATTACACTAAGATATCTGAAGAATTTTACAAATTAATAATTGCAATTATCAATGTTACCAAAATGTATCATCTGTTACCAAAATTAATTTGATGTGTTTGGAAATTCGAATAAAATTCTGTGCAACAAATA